AAAAAAAACCAAGAAACGTAGACTCTTGGTATTCATTACACATAAACTAGCGAGCCCCAGAATGAGAAACAAATTTTAATCATTATTATTGACGGATTAGTAAACTTTTTACACGCTTTGGAAAATCTCAGAAGTTCGCGGTAGTCACTTTTCGGTAAGGAACTAGGGGACTCGGTTATTGTATCGAGGGGGGGGGTCGAAACGATCGCAAAGGCGGTATACTACGTATACGCGCCAAAATCAGATACTGAAAAAATATCTAGTGGTACTGCAGATTCGTAAACTACGAGGGGCGTTCAATAAGTAAGTATCCCCCCTCTCTAAAATCCATTAGAATGAACCAATTTTAAGAAACTTGGGCTCAAAATCTTCCTTAGGATATTTTGAGTTCAAAAAAACAAACCGCAAAAAAATCGGACCATGTTCGGCCGAACGCGAGCCGTTTGAACGCGCCGAGGTGCTCGACGCTCCCGCCGAATCCGCGAGGATTTGAAGTCCGCTACAGGAGAAGAGCTTCTCTGCCAAAGCCTCAGTCGTTCATCACTGACGAAAAATCAAAGAAATTTTTGTAGAATAAGGGGCTTACCTCACTTCTTCTCCACATAACCAGCTCGATCCAAGCAAGTCTGATACTGAGACTAAGAGAACAGCTTTTGGATGCCTCGCGCGTGGAAGTCTTTCAGCTGACCGGGGATGAAAGAGTGGACGGCTTGTTTGACCTCTTCCCCTGATTCAACATTAACTCCTCCGAGTTCAGATTTCAGATACGATAATAAATGGCGTAGCGGACTTCAAATCCTCGCGGATTCGGCGGGAGCGTCGAGCACCTCGGCGCGTTCAAACGGCTCGCGTTCGGCCGAACATGGTCCGATTTTGTTGCGGTTTGTTTTTTTGAACTCAAAATATCCTAAGGAAGATTTTGAGCCCAAGTTTTTTTAAAATTGGTCCATTCTAATGGATTTTAGAGAGAGGGGATACTTACTTATTGAACGCCCCTCGTAACACTCTTAAGATGTTTGGTAAGATCTCCAACGATGAAAAATTTCAATTTTGACATTATACCAGGTGACTGCGATTACGCAATTGACGAGGTTTGGCTTGTTGAGCTTTCATTCTAAATATCTACAGACATCTAACTTAAAACTTACTCAACGTAAAAGTAACAAGATTCTAGAAAAATTAATAGAAAATGAATAGTAGAGATAAGATGTAGAGTTCTCCCAACAGTAGAAATTTTACTTCAAAGTAAATTCCTATCAGCATAATCGGAATATTGACGAAACGTCATTTTTATCAGGGCGATCAAACTAAAATCCTAAAATCTAATCAATTACTTTAATAGATAGATATTTTAATAGACAGATCCGTTACTTTAATATAAACTCCCTTTTGCAATTCTCCGATTTTGATGGGCTTTTTTGCATAAATGCATCCATTTATTCATCATTTATTCTATATAGATGACTCAAAATCCGATTGAAATCTTACTTGGAAGATGTGGCAAAAGCGGTGAGCAAGGAGGGTCCCAATTGTACATAATATTTGAAGGGATTTTTGCGGAGGAAAAAGAAGTAGATGAGTTGAATGATGATGAAATGGTACAGAGCGAGTGCAACCAGGACGGTGAGAATAAACCACGCCAACCGATCCAAGGCTGAGCTGATGTCCGGAATCGATGCGATCTTCCCGCAAATTATGCTCCCGACGCAAACAGGAGTGCACCTAAAATAAAAATCGGGTTCAGCAATTAATCAATAATAAAATTGAAAATATGACTGTCTAAGAGAAAAGGGGCCCTATTCCACGGAGAAAAAATTTACTGCACCAATTTTTGTCGAGTTGGGAAAAAAGTGGATTTTTAAATTTCGACGGAAGACTCTTTGGTGTTCTTACTGATAAGAAATTGAGATCGGTTTACTTCATGTCCACGCTGATTAAGGATTTTATGTAAAGTTACATGTTACAATATGTACAAATTGAACGTATTCTGGCATTTTTGGTTGCACACGACACGTAGCATGGCCCAACATGCGGAGTGATTTTGGTATCACTCAAAAATGAAGGGGTTTTTAACGCGTGTATTATATCCTTTCCTTTTTTCCTTAAGCTGACATGAAGTAAACCCACCGTAATGCCAATTTTTAAGAGTTCAGGTACGTGAAGTATATAAATGTGACCGTGCAAGAGAAAAATAGAGATGAGGATTTTCAGTGCACCAATTTTTGCCGAGTTAGGGAAAATAGGATTTTGAAATATTGACGAAGCACTCTTTGGTGTCCTTTATGATAAGAAATTGAGATTGGTTTACATCATATCTTCGCTGATTGAGGATTTTATGTAAAGTTACAGTACCAATTGAACGTATTTGCGCTGGACACTACTCGTAGAATGGTCCAGAACATGGTAGTGATTTTGGTATCACTCGATATTGAAGGGGTTTTTAACGTGTGTGCGATACCATTTCCTTTTTTCTCTTGAGATGACATGAGTTAATGTAATATCACTTTTTAAAAGTTTTGATTCGCTTAAAATGTCATTGCCTCAATTTACGACTTACATTGCTGATTTCGAAAAATGTTTTTTCCTTTCTTACTCTGCCCGTTTTACTCTCTTTAGTGTGAATTGACAGAGTGAAAAATGAGGAGATTTAAGAGCAGGACTGTGGAATGTATTGAAAAAATTGAGGTAATAATAACATTAGCCAATGATAGTATTCCCAAATTTCAATAAGAACCGTTGTACGCAAGTGTTCCATGATTATTGCACTCACCAAATCACACCGAGCAGAAGTTTCATGAGGACGTCATAAATCACGGAGAAGAAATCAATGACGATTTGACGTTTGGAGCCAAGGGTCCCCAAGATTGATCCGAACATCATACAGAAAACGACTATACCGATCATATCTGTGCCTGCCCTGAAAAATATTCACAATACCACCATTATCGGTGTAATCAAAATTTTAAAATAGATACAAACTTTGCCTCACCTATTAGTGCTCCTAGTAGAAAATCGTTAAGAAGAGGTCAGTAAAAATATGACCCTCTCGTTGAAAGCATTTAAAGAAAATGGATGCAGATAAAGGGGCGAGATAAAACGAAGATGATGAAATGATAGGTGTCAGTGACGGTGTCAGTTGCCCGAGAACCTCTGGGAAGACAGGCATATGTGGCGTTTGGGTGTCGTAGAACGCCCAAGTGCGTTGTAAAGCGACTTCATATATATATGAAATGATAACATAGATCATAATGTATATGTGATTTAATCTTATGGTTCTGAGTATTATTTATATCAAAAGATTTTGTATAGGCTACATACCTTGTATCAATTATTTTCTTGTAAGTTCCATTGGTTCCAGGTACAAGATCGTACTTAGTATACGTCTGTAATTAAACAGGAACAGATACGTTGTTAGAGTCAATTTCTCGTGAGGACACATCCCTGGTAAAAATTGGCGATAAGAGCTGCGTTTCAAAATACCATAGGAATTCTTATAGCCGGCTATAGAAGGCTACAGAAAATCATATAGCTGGCTGTAGAGTACGGAGAAAATCATACGGCCGGGCTATACGGAGCGATAAAAAAGTATGCAGCCGGGATATAGTTCCTATAGCCAGGCTTTACACTTTATCGCCTGGCAGTTGCTTTTTCGCCATCGATCATAAAAGGCTATAGGAAATTGTGTAGAAATTCGTGTGCTTTAGATATCATTAAGTTTGATACGGAACCACCTTAATATTTACAAAACACACATTATATTTTCCTTTAATACATATTTTTTTTTCATCAATTAAAACGAGAATAATCCATACAGGATGTGCAAACATTTCAAAATAATTAGTTGAATAACGCTGACTCCGCCAGATTAAATATCAGAGCCTAACACAAAGCGGAGCGGCGACGCACTGGCGCCTACAAACCTAACAGGGATACTTCACGCATTGCGCAACGCGTGAAGTATCCCTGTTAGGTTTGTAGGCGCCAATGCGCGTTTCGCGCTGGCTGCCCGCCTGCCGCACTGCAGCGTGCCACGGCGCTTGAAGCAACTGTTTCACACCAGAGGTATTGCACAGTATCATACGAAACTGAAGGCGCACTAATATATTAGGAATGGCAGGCATCCATCAAAAGTACGGAGCTTTCCTCGCAAAATAAATCAAGATACTACAGCCCAAAAAGAAAGCAGTGGTCCAAAAACTCACTAAGTCCTAGCATCCGTAACTAGTGACGTTTAGCATACACTTTATCGCCTGGCTGTGAGTTGCTTAATCGCCATCGGCTATAAAAGACTATAAGAAATTGTGTAGCGGGCTATAGAAGCTATTGGAAATCTTACAGCCGGCCGTAGGTCTATGGTATTTTGGAACACAAATTCTACTGCCAATTTTTTCCAGGGATTGAAAAAACAAATAATTTCTAAAGTAAAGGAAATAGAAAATCAACAAAGTAAGCTTTGCTAATATTCGTAATCTACATATATGCATCTCAGCATGAACTTTAAATGCTATTCATACAAATATTAAATTCCTTTATCTTCTCCTGAACCCCAATTTACGATCATCATGAATAGTAGAAAACCTTCTACAAATGGCATACATGGACTATGATATTCTTAAAAACATTTTTAGAATGCAAGCATCTATTGATATGAAAACAAGGAAAACTGTAAGGTTCAAAATTCAATTATTGAAGAGGGATTCAAAACTTCAACTAAATCTCATGAAAATATTTCAAACAGCCATTCACCTTTTCTCAGTTTTTTGCTCTCCCTAAGCTGTTTTTAATCAATCAATTTTGATTTCTTCTTAACATTTCAGTAGAATTCATACCAAATAAGTTTACACAATTCTGGACAGCGACAGAAGATCACCTGACATTACTTTTACATGTCAGGTAAATGCAAGAGTATAAATAGTGCGGATCTTCATTCACAGTCTAGAAGTGCGTAAACTTTTTTGGCGTGGACCCTACAATTACAACACGATTTCAACTTTCTGGAAACAAGCATGAACATAAAAGACACTATTTACATAGGCTGTCCCAAAACAACTGGCACTAAGTCTGTCATTCGGGAACTACAAAAAATATCGACATGCGGTTTGCGGGAGGTGATAGCTCATACTCTTAGCTCTTAAACGAGACTAAGTTGAGCTAATTCGGTTAAAAACTCAACGAGTTACATCAATTTTCCCGAGGCGTGTAAGAAATACCCCTACGGGATTTTTCGGTAATTTTTCATTCCGTTAACTTTGCCTCCGCAAGCTGTGCGATTGGTTCAGACGTTATGAATGAAGTTTCCACTTGTCTGGATGGAAGTTTGAACTTGTCAGCAAGTGTTTACATCACAGCCAAGAAGTTTTTTACTGTTTGCAAAGTCAGTTTAGTGAAATTGTCCGGCCTGGTAACGCGTTTTTTGGTGTTTCATCATGAGTTCACCCGCGGGGTTGAAGCAAGAGCAACGATACGCAATTCGATATTGCGTTTGTCGTCAATTATTTGCTTCTGAAACTGTAAATGAAATGACAGTGGCTCAGAAGTGTTTCAGAAGCAGATAATTCACGACGAGTGCAATATCGAATTGTATATCGTTGCTCTTGCTTCAACTCCGCGGGTGAACTCATGATGAAACACCAAAAAACGCGTTATCAGGCCGGACAATTTCACTAAACTGACTTTGCAAACAGTAAAAAACTTCTTGGCTGTGATGTAAACACTTGCTGACAAGTTCAAACTTGCATCCAGACAAGTGGAAACTTCATTCATAACGTCTGAACCAATCGCACAGCTTGCGGAGGCAAAGTTAACGGAATGAAAAATTACCGAAAAATCCCGTAGGGGTATTTCTTACACGCCTCGGGAAAATTGATGTAACTCGTTGAGTTTTTAACCGAATTAGCTCAACTTAGTCTCGTTTAAGAGCTAAGAGTATGAGCTATCACCTCCCGCAAACCGCATGTCGATATTTTTTGTAGTTTCCGAATGACAGACTTAGTGCCAGTTGTTTTGGGACAGCCTATGTATTTCATGGAGAGAAACAAACTGCGGCTATACGGACCGCATTATTTAGTGAGTGCTTTTTGGCTCGAAGGATTGAGCGGCCAGTCGAGAGAACCAAACATTTTAGTTGACTGATCTAAACGTCAGTTTGGTTCTGAACCGATTATTTAGCTCAATTCGTCGCTCCTCTGACATATAAGGGAGTATCTGGATTTCAGCGTGAGCCCTAATTCACATATTAACCCATGCTTTCTGGGGCTCATGCGAAAATCGAGATACGCCCTTACGTCAGAAGAGCGACGAATCACCCAAAGTCTTTCTTGGTCCGGGAAAACCAAAAAACTTTGGTCGTTACGAAACATGTTCCATGTGAACCAGATTTGTTTGTTTCGTAGTCCTCTGAACCAAAAAGAGCCCACTGAACTATTTGGTTCGTATAATCGGAATTCTTTGCTCAATGTGTGCCTAATCCGTCTAGGGCCACTCGAGCTCATTCCACTTGAACACTCACTCGCGGCCAGATTTTCGAAATCCCTCGACAAAAAAAAGGATGCCGACTTAATGGATCTTATCAGTAAGACGTGTGAGATAACAAGATATGAATGATCTATTAGAGATGAGACCCAATGCTGAGTTCCGCTGTTGTAAGATACGTGAGTTCATGTGCGTGTATTAAAACAGCGGTTAAAGAAAGGGTTATCTAAAAATTAGAAAATGTGTGGTTTAAAGTCAGGAAAAGTACTCACTGTTTCCAAAGTCGCGAGGAACAAATTGTCAGGCAAAAGATTCCTGGGAACATATATAAGAAAATTAAAATTTTTCGCAGAAACGGCGGGGTTCAGTTGTGAACGTATAAATTGGGTCCCATTTATGAATACCTTGATGAACAATTTTTTTCAGTTACAACTCGTGTTCTTTCAGTATTGGGTGTAAAATAATGAGATTTCAAAATTCAATATTTAGTCTCGCAACACTAGTTTAAATTTTTTCAGGGCAAGCGACTCCATGCAATTTATGAGCTTTCAAGTTTTTGTTCTTGGCATCAAAAAAATTCATTTAACTTAGCACTGGACCCTTTGACTGCTTCAATTATTAAAAAGAACATATTTCACCTCGCACGAAAGAGTGTTGAAATTTATGAAATCAAATTAGAATCTCAACTACCATATATTACTGTATAATTTAAGATCACTAGAATAACGCGTAACGCATAACGCATAACGCCTCAGACGCGATTCGCTCCGGGGGTTGGCCTGCAAAGCGGTCAGGGGGCGTATACTCTGGTTCGTGAAAAAATTGGTTTGAAAATTGGTCTGTTTTATGTGCACTTTAAGAAAATTGGGCGTATCTATCCTAAAAAGAACTATGAACATCGGGTTTGAAAATTGTTCCTGAACATAGTCTCCTTTATAATAAGTACGTCCAACTGAAAATTCTTAAATGTTCAATTCGTACAAACTTTAATTGTTAAGTTTGGCTCCCTCTGTAATGATCTCAAGCAGGGCCCTTTAAAAACAACCAATCCGTACATAGAAATTGCAGCCAGTAGTTTAAGTTAATAAGAATTTTAGGTGATTTTAGCCATAACTCACCTTCCAATATCAAGGAATCCATCCAGAATCGAGACTTGAGGCTTCAGACCTTTGGGTTTGTGCTCGTGCGGTTTGAGGCCAGAGCTGCCCGGATGTATGAGAAGAACCAGGATCATACCGATAACGACATTGAGCATCGAAGTTGAGAAAAAGTATGCCAACGTTCGAACAGCGATTTTTCCATTTTTCTGAATGTTTAATGACGCCGTGCCTACAAAAACACAGGATAAAAAATGTCAGCGATACGGAAGGTGCTCTAACTGAATGATTCGCTCTTCGAGAAAAAAAAAAGCTCTTAAGGTAGCATAGCGGTAATTTCATTTCCATTTTTTGGCTTTCTGGCTCAACGTTCTCTTCTTTCATGATCAGGGTTTAGACGAACTGATTCGCCTTCAATTAACAGAGTAGGCAAAAGGGCCTCCTACAAGCCGTAATAGTGGTATCTACTTCTATTGTAGATTTTCAATGTTTTGGTGCAGCATCTTCTTATCACGTGGGAATCGTTCCGACTAACTGATTCGCCTTCATTTCACAGATTAGGCAAAAGGGGCTCCTAGGTGTTGGCATGATGATATCTAATCTTAGGTGTCACCATTTTTTAACCTCTTGGCGCAGCGTTAGATAAAATTTAGCGTTACAAGCTTAATTGCAAAATATTTTTTTAACTTAAGGTACCAACAGTTTCTTTAAATATACTCGTAAATACTCACCGATAATTATGCAAGTTATCACGAAGGGTAAAACTAATAATTTAAGAGTTCTCATAAACAGCTCGCCAGGGTACGATATCAGCGTCACTGTATCCGCTGTCAAATTCTGAGGCCGAAGAATGAACCCTGCAACAAATTTTTTTTGAAATGCAAGATATCGTAAATGGCAGATGACTAAAATTATTTGAGGATGTGCATTTTTTATACAAAAATTACAGAGCTGCCGCATGTATTGTTTAATTACATTTCATACTTCACATGTGCGCATAATAGCTTAACTACTCATTTACAAGAATGAAAACCGATCCGAAGTCACTTTGTAAATTCAAAATTTTGACGTACGTGTGGCGCTCAATTGTGTTACCTTAAAAATCAGTGGCGTGGCGTGAATTGCGATGTATCGATTGTTATGCCATTTAAACCTATGCTAAAGAATCGATTATTAAGGTGCTCGCTGTCCACACCCTGTTTATCGATTTTTTCCATAGGTTTAAATGGCATAACAATCGATATATCACAATTCACGCCACGCCACTGTCAACAATAAATAAATTCATAAATTGCAAAGTTTTCCGATGAAGCAAAACTTCGTGTATACTGTTTCCTCGCAACTGGGTTCGGTTCCAATAGAACATATTTTAAATATTTCATTGAAATCGATTTTTTATGTTACAATCTCGTGTCTTAAAAACGTTTTATGACATCAATATTTCATTTCTTCGACTATGTATTTTCTACAATCAATAGCAAAACTCACAGTCATGATGTTAAAATTTTGATTTGATTTTTAGTAATATTCAGAAATTAATAAACCAAATTTCCTCGTTAACAAGAGAACCTTTCTGCAAATGTTTTTGGGTGTCAAAGGAAGTGACAATTGCGTCAATCGACTACCACCATAGACATACGCAAGGAATTTTGTCTTATGTGGACAAAAAGTTACTTTGAAGAATCTCTTGAGCATACTTTGAGTGAGATTAGTATACTCTTTGAGTGAGTTACTAAGTACGCCTTCTCGATACTCCTTGCCAAAAGGAATTAGTGTGGACTTAAATCTAGTCATGCCAATAAAGAATTTCAATTATTTCATTGTAAGTGTTTTCACGCTTGTGATCTATGTGAAATCAGATTTATGGCACACGTGGATGACTGACCGGGTTTAAAAAGGAAACATATTTTGCGAACACACATTATGGATATGAAAGCGACACTTTTGAGAAGCAAGATGTAAAACAAACTAGATTTTTAGCTAATATTCGAGATATTTCAACTTATCCTCAATAAGAACCCTTCAACGCTCAGTGGAAGCAGTTTGAACTCATTTTGAAGGAGCCCAGCAGTGCGAAACATTTAGAGCAAGTCCTCCTCTAAAAATAAATTAAATTTCACAACTGTTTCATTTTAAACTTTTGACGCTTACCTAGAATTGCACCTAAAATCACACCAGTCAGGGTGCTGATTAAAAACGCATTTTTCTTCAGCTTTTCCACAATTTTATTTTTGATGGGTCGTTTATGGTGTTCCTCTGAGTGTTGAGCCTCCATTTTGTCATCCTTTTCTTCCGTCATGATTCAGGATTCACACCTGGAAAAATTCCAATTATCAAATTCTGATATTACAATACATTAGCTGTAAAACAAACTTCACTGACTTAGAAATAAAATCAGATAAACATATTTAGATTCTCATGGAAAGTTTCTTCGCAACCTTTATATCTCCATGTTTCCTATGTTTTAACCAGCATATAAAAGATAAAAAAAGAAGAAAAAGCTTACTTTAAACATTTTCGAAGACTCCTGATCTAACCTCTGTACGGTGTGAAATCCCTTTCTCTCCGTCTCGCAATTGCGTATTTTAACATGGTTCAGTATTCAATTACTCTCCTTGATTCAAATTATAGAACATATTTTTGTGAGATATAATCGAAAAGAATGAGGAATGTAGTTGCATGGTTTGTCCAGGGTGGCTCATGGACTTTTTGAGACTTGAAAATTTCCGTGAAATGTTTCATGAAATCTCAAGAGGCTATGAGCTTAACATGCACATATTGAACAAATATCTCAGGAACAGAATGTATAACCCGCACTCAGAATCACCACACAATAAAAAAGCTCTCGTTTTTTGCAATTAATTATCAATATTTCCTTTTTTTCTTTCGTGTGAAATATCATCAGTGAATATACATAAAATAATGTCTCCCCAGTTAGCAAGATTGAGCTCCGTCATTTGGATCCATTAGCCCGTACAAGAGCTCGCTCCAATACTCGCGTTATCCACAAAATGTAGCAGTAGATTGAAGATGGCATTGCTAAGCGCGCTCCTTACAGTCTCCGTCCACAGTCTCTAGCGGCAGATTGGAGACTGAGTTGATAAGCGCGCTTCTCACGGTGTTCATCCACCGTCTCTAGCGGTTGAACGAAAATGAGTTGGGAACGAGTCCAGGCGAGCGCATCTAGCCGCGTGTGTAGTGCGTTTGGAGTTGCGGAGAAATGCAGGAGTCTGGATGCGCGCGCCGCGCGTCCTTCAACAGGCAAGTTGTTGTTAGTTGTGATTCAGGATTCAGTTGTGATTTAAGTCGTGAGCGCTCATGGAATTGATTGTAAAGTCCACTTGTTAAAGTAAGTATTTTCCCCATGTTTTTATTGCGTTTTCATTTTCTTTACCGGTGTTCAATTCTGCCGCTCGTGCAAGAAACAAAGCCGAAGTATTTATCTCTTAGTTAGTTATTTCGCTGAGGGACGAAAGTTAGTTTTCCTTTTCAGAGCTAACCTCCCTACCACTTTGTACCATGCTCTGTTTATTTGAATTCAACATATTTCCTTGCGAAAGTGCAGGACAGTTGATCCTCAGTTGTCCTCCAGACGTTGAACTACTAATGCGGCAAGAACACAATTCAGCTTAATAAGCCAAAATTCTCGTGATTGTAGTCTATTCGAATCTTACTTGGCTAATGCAAGGTACCACTGGCTTATAACTTGTAGACTCGTGTAAGCACTCGAGCAGTGAGCTTGCTTATGAGTTGTCGACGTATATACTTAATCAATGAGTTTCAGACTGCATCTCACTTCTTCTCCGCTAGGTACTTTCATCTGTGCTCAGGGTTGGAATTGTCCTTGTCCATTGTAACCTATCTCGGATGAGATAAGCTGAACTCAATGAGTAATTGATTTTGGTTTCATCCGCTGGGTGGTCCTTGTGAGGTGTGGAGTATTTGTTCACAATAACATACCTCAAGGGGTTGCGGAGTCTCTCAGAAGTCAACGGAAATGAAATTGTGATTTTCACAGAACTTTTATGCGTTGGTTCTGAAGTATTCAATATTTAAATGATAACAATCGCTGATTCGTTTAACAGAGTAAATGTATAAGAACTAAACATAAGTTGGGTTTATTAGGTGTGAAGCTAATGTGTAATGTCATTTTCTTCATCTATTTTTCAGTGGCCTCACTCCAGACGAGCATCTGCACTCAAATTTATTTCCAAGTATTCTGGAATTTCCAAGCGGCTAATATTCTATGATCTGATTGCCCATCCTGTATCTGAGCAATCATTGGTAGAGAGTTAGCAGCAAAATCAAATCACCTCAAAATTCATCATTTAGTGCTTCAAACAACATTGATATCAAGGAAGATTTAGTGTAGGCAACTTAAATAATCATAAACAGTAACTTTCAAAGTTTGATTTGTCCAGATATTAATTTTTTCAAACGAAGAAGAAAAGTGTACTTAAGTTCAGTGTTGGAAATGCCTAAATATCTGAATCAGTAGGTAAAACCAAACTCTTCGGAATTTAAGTTTTAAAGAAGAACTTTATATTTGGTGAGTCTTTTTTTATATAATTTCTTAACGCATACTCTTTCAACGCACAGAAGGACTTTGATAAACTGTAGAAAGCAGTTTCTTTTGATGCTCATCATGAAACATCATCTCAGCAAGTTTGATGCCCTCTCAAGTCTTAGTTACATATTTGTGCTGTATATTACCTGAAAATTTTGATTTTATGTAGTTCAAAGCCTTGAATATTTTCTGTCATACTTTTTAGTGATCTAGCTGTATTTGTCGGCATCATTTAAGTGGATCTGAATGTCATGATTTATCATTATAACTTATTAAGCTTAAATTAAAGACATTGTGTACCTCCATCCCCCCAAAACTGAGGGTCTCGCAGTCAAAATCTCACGATACTTTACACCGGTGACTAATGAAGAGTTACTGGAGTAAGCGTTATTCGGACTAGATGTGGCGCATCAATCAATACCTTGGTATACATTTTCTACATCAAACTTCATTCATCTTTGTAGGGTTCTCTATGGCAAACATGCTCCCTTTGTGCTACCAGCTACATGTGTCTTTCAGTGTCATTGATTATCCTAGGATGACGAATGACATGTGTCATCCATAATCGTAGGATGACCAATGACATGCGCCGTTTAATGTCATTCATCATCCTAGAATTCCTAACGACATGTTTTAGGATTTTCAATGACATGCATCCTTCGATGTCAGGATTTTCAACAATATATGGAGTTGAATGTCTTTCAATGTCTTTGTGAGGAATGAAGGATATATCCTTGGAACGACATCTGATGATAAAGTGGCAAAAGTTATATTTTCCTTGAGAAAGTGGTGAAGATTCATTGTCAGCTTCGATGAGATTTGATAGCAAGTATTTGCAGCATCCTATTCTGGACGTATGTTGAGGCTCCATCAAATACGGCTAAAGTCATTAATACTGTTCTTTCGTCCGCTTTCCAATTTTATCGATAATAATTCTTACATCTACTTAATAGTGCCGATTCCGAGAGGAGACTCTTATCAACAGGGTTGTAGAAGAATAATAAGTTACCAAAACCAATGTTTTCAGATATGGCTAGTCTCCAGAATTTCTTTTTTTCATACAAATTATGCTTATTACTTGTGCAATGTGTTCCATAAATAAACTTTTTTAATTAATGAAAAAACTGAACTAGGTAATAAAATTTTCTCTTAAATCTCTAGTTTGCCCTAGAGAAAAGATCATCTTGTACATCATCAATGTACATCTTAAATTTAGAAACGAGTCTATTTGGAATGATATAATGGTAATAAAATATCTTTGTTGGTATACATCTGAGTTTTTTTCTTTTCTTCTTTTTTTCTTGACTTTAAATTTTCTCCTTTGTTACATTGTTGAGAATAAATCTAGTTAGCCATAGGGGAAAGAATTATGAGAATTTCTGTTAACGTTCCTGCCATCACATTTAATTAGTATTTCAATATAAAAAGTTTTATTAGCGACAAATCGAATTCATCCAAGAGGCAATTTGTCTCCTAGAAAAATAGATTTTCGAGGTAATATGGAAAATAACTTTGGTTAATAACTTTGACTTGGTGTTTTGTGTACCTATCGAAAACACTTTGATATAAGTACATTATAAGTATAGGTCTTTACTATAAGTTTTCTTTTAAAAAAATTAAGTTTTCTTTTGGGGTTACTTTTAAAAAAATCGGATCCACAGGAAGTACATCTACATCTCTAGAGTACCTGATTTCTGAAATTTTGAAGCTAAAAAACTGAGGAATAAAGTGAAAAATATACCTACAAGAAAAAATTTCATGGATTGTGAAATTTTTTCAGAGGTATTTTTGACATTTTATTTTTGAGCTTTTTAGCCTCAAAATTTAATTATATTCTCTTGAGATATAGATCTATTTCCTGAAGTTCCGATGTTTTGTAGAAGAAATAAAAACCCCGAATAAATTCCATTATCAGTCAGAACTGCCGCTAGGAACGCGCTGCGTGACGCCGCGCGTGGGCCGCTTGCGTCAGTGCTACAAAGCCGCTCCGGATGCCGCGAGTAGCGGCGCCTGGACTCCGAGTCCGACGAGGGGTATCCACATTCAAACGGGTGAATATCTCTAGCTACACTGCCGCTCCTCTATGTGGATAAGCGATTCCGCTTTGGCACCGTCCACCGCTAGAATCGGCGATGGAGCTCGATCTTGCTAACTGGGTCCAGGAATTACAAAATAATTTTTAATTATCATTTAGTGTGGGGCTGAAAATTCATACACTTTAAAACATAAAATTCGTACATTTCGTATACTTCGGAGATTCCGAAAATGTTTCACTTGGAATTTTCATACATTTTACTTGATTCGCAATTTTATAAAATTTTCCTACCCTAGGTTCATTTCAGAATTTCCTGTTGAAAAAAAAAACTGAAAAATGACTAGGAGTCTTTCTTTTTTTATACTTTTTAAGTATAAAAAAGTGTTAAATATACGAACAGATCTCACGATTAGAGTCCCTTTATACCCAGAGTTAAGACAACTCAATTATCAGCTGACTGGCAGCCGGCCTTGGCTGGCCATGGAGGCCGAAACGAGTGCACCCAAACGAACGATATTGAGGGATAAGGATCAGGAATCCTGCGATGTCTGTCACACAAAAACAACAACATCAACAAATTGATCAATTAAAAAGAAAATGAGATTGGTTTGTGAATAATTTCTTAATCTATTTTCATTTTGGACCGATGGAAATAACAATTTACTCTTGATAAACCACAATTAGGTAATATTTTCATTATTCTTGTTCACATTCGAGGTACCGCCATCTTGGTGCACTCGTTTTGGCCTCCATGAGCGCGAACCAATCAGAATTGGATTTTTTTTTAGGCCACTTTCAGCCCAACCAAAAGTGAGTTGTCTTAACTCTGGGTATAAAGGGACTCTACTCACGATGAAACTCCGACGGAGTACAAGAAAAATACCACTCACAATGCGTGAGGATGACATGCTGTCACTAATGCAGTTGACTGTCCGTCCAAAAAAAAACACTCCCGAAAATAACGTTACAAAAAAATGACTAAATCAAAACAATTGCCAGCGTGAGAATAAACAGATACAAAGCGCACGACACGACGACTGTGCGAAATTCGCCGCCGCGGTGATGAGTGAAATTTTTTGCACCAATTATCCTTGGCTAATTGCTGTTTCCGCACCAAACGGAACCCTTATCATTCCCACGTCACTTCCATTTCTCTCCCTCTCTGCCTTCCTCCTCCTCCTCTCCTCGTATTCCCAACACCTCCTGTCCCATATTCGCCGACTGTTCCCCCGTTTCGGAGGGAAAAAATGCTCATAGTAATTCCTGTTTCGTCAGCGACCCAATTTTTGGAAGCTGCTGCTTCCCATTCATACTGTCGCCATACGGTGTGACATACTGCCGTGCTAAGCAAAAACGGCGTATAAAAATTCGAATGTTGCAAAATTTCCTCCAGGAAGACAATTATTTTTTAGACAATTTATGAATATATTTCATCAAAATTTTCAGAAACTTTAGATAGACTTTGTGAACAAAATTCTATGAAAAATTCGAAGAGAAATTCTTGAATATTTCCCTGCAAATTCGTAATTTGTCAAAGTAAGTTTGGCAACGTCAAAAGGCTCACATACGGCGTTCTATCCTAATACGGTAGTAGGGAACCTGAACTCACATGATTACTACGCAAATTGCCTTGTTGCCCGGTAGAGAATAGCAATACTCTGATTGGCCTCCGGCAAAGGTTTTCTCTTTATCTTAGATATATGTGCTCACCAATAAAGAACCTTATTCATAGATAGTATAGACAATAAGTTATGTAATTCCAAAAAAAAGATCGACAACTCTGGATGGTAGTGGATTGATGCAAACCTTTGAAGTTAATCTCCAGCTGCTTTTGTTGCCATCGTTGCCATTGCTAGAGTCTATGCGTGGGCGAAAAGATGTAGTGAAAGACTTTTTCTACTCCAATCTTTGCCTCAAAAATCTCACATTGATAAGTTTGACGAACGAGTATGTCAAACTGATTTGTCAAACAGTTTCACGAAAGTTTGATTGAATTGTAAAAGGCAATGAGTGAGACTTTAAAACACCAAATGCACGACCAATGAATTGTCTCCATGAATTAGTCGATGCCAACAAAGACTCAAAAATGAAACTGAGTGTTCGGGCGCACCTGAGTTATGTATAATTACTCGTTCTCCAGACGAAAAAGCGTTTCAACAATCAACACATTCAACATTTCAACACTGCCATATTTCCAGTAAATTATTACATTCTACTGGAGAACTGTTGGGCATTTCTGACTGAAAAATTGCATTGATTTTTCTTTTAATTATGTGCAAAAATCAGTACAATTTTTCATATAAATTGCATCAAAATATTCTTGTAACTAATTCATTATTTAAGTCAATGTTGCAACCTTGGAGAGGAATTACGTTCTTTTGTCTGGGAAACGACTAATTGAATCGGTGGATGTTAAAACCCCACATGTCTATTATCTGGTGAACCCTGAAATTTGAGCATAATTACAGAGCTCAGGGCTCATAGAAACGGACTTGTTCGGTGTTTTTAATAACCTCCAATTTAATTTACCAACCGAGCACGGGAGGCTCCCGTACAACGCTCTGAAGTTAAGAGAGAACAATGGAAAAGTTTAGGTTGTTTTACATAATTACATAACTCAACCGAACCGTCACAGACGAAACGTGTTTCAGAAAAACTTTAGGATCATCAATTCTCACTGAAAAATGTACGTGCTTCCGTACCTGAAATTCAATGAACTCGCATAAATTGCCATAAATGTATGAGAAACATATCGATGCGTAAAGTCGAAAAATGCATAACTCCGATTGTGAAGTTTCTCAGATTTTATTTTTTTAGGAGAAAAAATTTTTCCAGTAATTTTTGGTAAATTATTTTTACTAATTCAAAAATATTCGCGGAAAATTTAAGAAGACATATTTTTTAGGTGGGCTTCCTGTGATGGAAGAGGCAAATGATTCTGCTCGAATCTGAGGGACTACTTACTGCGAGAAAAAGAGAGATTTTGCTTTAAGTAGATTGTACATATTCAGAGACTCATTTGAAAATTAAAAAAAAAAAAAAAAAAAAAAAAAAAAAAAACGGAGGTATAGGTCGTATCAAGTACTTCAGTCGTAATGTTGTTGTTCAAAGCTTGACACATCTGTAATCAAGCAAGCATCGAAGAAACTTATTTGAACAAGGAAATGAAAAAGAGATCTGTCGTTTCTAAAATAAGCCAAAAATTTGATTTATCTATGCTAATCTGATCCGATTGCAATATGTGGTATCAAGAACCGATTGGATCGATCGATTGATAAAGACAAGTTCAAGTTCCTATGAATTGCATACTTCAAATCCTATGTGATAAGGCTACGGTTTTCTGAGGATGTCCTGACTGCACCATGAGTTGCACTATGGACTTGGAATGACAATGAGATATTCCAGACGAAGTCCTCAGCCATCCGAGACTGGCGCTAGCTCTGCGGCCGTCGTTTGTATTTAACAAAAGATATTCTTTTTTAATCATCTCATTGACGCCTGCAAAATGTCGAAAGGCACGCATATAGCTGGGGGGCGTCTATACATAGACCCTATGTCATCTTTGCCCCTTGACAGAAAACAGCTCAGCTATCTTTCACAGAGCACAGACCTGATTTGTTGACCATTGGTGGATCCAACAATTTGGCCAAACCGGATTTCCTACATTTATACCCATGGGAATTTATCGATTCTCGGAGGGAACTGGGCTCCGACAAGAATCGAGTATTCAGCATAGGTTTAAATGGAGGAAATCCGGTGTATTGCCAAATGGGCCTGTTGCAAATTTTTGCTAGAGCAAAAATAAGAGTTGTTTCTTATAGATATTGCCTCAAAAATCACGATGAGCGCATTGGCAAAGTCTGAAATGCATTCATAACTTCACAATCTGCGTAGGAAATTTGCGGTTTTTTGAGCTTCCCGCTTCAAAAACGATACTACGGCACAGGTGAACATTTTGTTAGAGGAGTCGTTCCATCGTCGGCAATACCCATCATGGCCGACGACAATCCGCCAAAATACCTGTGATGGGACGAGATAACACCTGAACAGGATTAGACCAGATAACAATCGGCGTGTTTACGTTTATATTTTCCTCACCCGCCTTGATTGACCTTGAACTCTCCTCGAATTACGCGAAGAACTGCGCAAGCGTCGGCCATGAGGAATATTGCCGACGATGGAGCGACTCTTCTAACAAAATGATCACCTGTGCCGTAGTATCGTTTTTGAAGCGGGAAGCTCAAAAAAACGCAAATTTCTTACGCAGATTGTGAAGTTATGATTGCATTTCAGACTTTGCCGATGCGCTCATCGTAATTTTTGAGGCATTATCTACAGGAAACAACTCTTATTTTTGCTCTAGCAAAAGTTTGCAACAGGCCCATTGCCGGATCCGCCTCTGTCGTTGACGATAACACTGCGACTACGAGGAATATCCGTGAAAGATTATGTTAAGTGGCCAAAAAAATTGAGATCACCTGAAGAAAGATTCAAGAATATCTTATTTTCGTAAGGTTTTCGGAATTTCAGAACAATATAAACATAAAATGAACTTCGTAAATTCATAATTGCTATAACATAACAGAAACTTTATGCTGAGAATTTGCCAATGTTGGTACTGAGAAGTCAAACAAGTTTTTTTTTTGTTTTTTTCGGATCAATCTCTTAAGATAATTTGTAACTATGAAGTCATCATGAAGTACGATTGCTCGTAGCATAATGTGTTTCAATAGTTGAATCTCAAAGACCCATATTCTAGTTGGGGGATCTTCTCAAAGTAGATAATAATGAGATCTCCCCAAAGGGGCACCTCTTTATTTTCAACGCCATCGATTAACATTTTGTAACACCCGTGATGTATGGGTTGATTACAACCACATGGAACATCGCAACAAACAGCTGAACTGTGTCACGAGTGTGATCCGATTTTGTGGTCGATACCCTCTTCATAAACACTTCAACAGTGACTGCAAATTAGCTATAATTCGGGGGACACAATGTCAAAATTCAATGACCGGTACACTTTAATCGGCTTTCATTTTATTTGAACCAGTCTTTTTTTTTCTAAATGTCCCGTCTACTTGTAAGCGCACTAACAATAAGTTGTGAGGGGTATCTACTACGATCTGAATGTAATAAACATTTTATCTACGGGTGGATAAACACTCCCGTAATCACCAATCTAATTGCAAGATAAAACCGAAAAATACTTTCTTCAAGCTCATGAATCATTTCGAGGCTGCTTTGAACCAGTCTATACTGCGAAGCAATAAGAATGTTTATTTTAGATCTGAACCTTGAGCTCTAACCCACGGGGTGGCCCCAGGATTGAACTCTGACATTGAGCTGGAGGAGGATCGGTATTTCCGTTATGGGTGAAGATGTACGATTGTACGCTGCCGTGCTAAGGAAAAACACTGTATGAACCTTCAGACGTTGCCAAATTTCCTTTGACAAATCACGAATTTTTAAGGGAGATGTTTTTAATGTGTAAATTTCCTCCAATTTTTCAGATAATTTTTTCGCAATTTCATCTAAAGTTCCCGAAAATTTTAAGGAAAAATATTCATAACTCCTCAAAAATAAACGAGTTATAGAGTTTGGCAACTCTCGAATATTCATACGACGTTCTTCCTTATCACGGCATTACGTTCCCACGTACGTCGTTACATACGTTCCCATTTCAGATACTTTGTAATCGATTATTACCGCGAAGGAGACAGCAGTGAGCTGACACTGTATTCTGCCAGCACGAGAGCACGATTTCAATCCAATTCACCTGTGTTTTGACTGAACTTTTTGATCCTTTGTAAAAGTAAATTTTTGTGCGTAACATAACGAGAAATTAATATTGCCAAGCGATCGTGACACAATGAGCCACTGAACAGGGCACACAGTGCAGCGCTAAAATTCATATTATCTCATCGAGGTTTGACGCAGAATACAATGGAAACATAAAACATTTTCAAAATTCATGAGTGTTAATTCACATGTCCCACGCAACCAAAATCTACGAGAATCAAATCGAACTTTTGACCATCTTCAATAGGTTTCACAATGGAGGGTTTTTTTTTTTTTTTTTTTTTTTTTTTTTTTTTTTTTTTAATGCTAAATATTTTTCTCCTCACGATATTAGAGGGACCTTGTATGAAATGTACCCTCGAATACTTTAGTCAAATAATAGCGTCGCGCAAAGAAAATACAAACAAGTTGGTTTTTGCAATCGCTAGCGATAGCAATATTCGTCATGGGAACTTTTGCTTCTGGGATATGAAAATGTTAAGGTACAGTTCGTTTGTAATATCTTCAGGATTGAAGGGGCTATGTAATTTTGTGTCGACATCTCTTTTTTAACATTTTTAATTTTTTTTCTTTGCATACAAGAAAGCTGTTATATTTACCAATTATTCATTTTCGTTGGATTATGTATGGTTTTCGGAAGTTAACGCATTTAACTTTCAGTTTCGTTTTTTCGGCGTAAAGTATGATATTTTTACTCTACTCATATGCCCGAATACGCATCATAAGTGACCTATGTGCTTCCTAAGTTGCCATTTTTTTCATTCAAATAGATGTAACTGAAATGTTAGATNAAAAAGACATCTTGCTATCTGTCAAATGCTATTGACAATGTTTATTTGAAGAAAATTACGATATCTCGTTGATCTAACTTCACTGACGAAGGAGATGAAAAGCAAATGGTTCACTCACATGCCCACAACTCAGATTTCGAACTCGATTTTCTTATTCTGTTAGGCTACTGCTGATCAGTACTCGTGACTGAGGCTAGAATAGAAATCGAAGAATAAAACAAAAATAGGTCTTTTTCAAGAATAAGATATTCTCGATCGGAGAACCCCTCCCTTCTAGAGAAAAATATCGAGCTACACCGCGCTGGACAAGTTCCTAAGTACTAATTTAACCCAAAGAAAAAAGGGTGGGGGTAATTTTGGAAAACTTAGAAAACCCTGGAGAATCTGAAAAGTCTGTTCGCCGAGAAATTGCGCAGATTTTGAGCCTCATTAAGATGATTTTATCCACTTTTAGACGGAATGGTAATAAGTGGCATCAAATCATAGACCGTAAATAACCCACAAGTCAAATCCCTAAAATTAACCCTCTATGGCATAGCGTCGCGAATCAGTAACAATGTATTTTGGAGGTTTTCAAAAATTGAATATTTCCTCTGCGGCATGATTTCGCGAATTTTCATTAGTTTTTTTTCCTTTTTTTGAATAACGGATTCCCTAAAATTTAAAATGTTGAAAAAGAAATTGGTGCTGTATTTTTTTCATGCAAGCTACATGATTTACGACAATCGAATGATTGATGATTGGTGAAGCTACATGATTTAGTGTCCCCCAGAGGCTGAGATCCAAAAGTAATTCATGCCATGGTATCATAATATGATATGGAAAAATTATAATTTCCTTACCTCCAGGAAACTAATATTATCCTGTGACACAAAAAATAGAACTGAAAAACGCACTGGGCCCAACGAGTGGCTCCAATAAGGGGGACAGCGCACTTAATCGCGGTGACTCCGATTAACGCACAGGGCCCACTTGGTCCCAGGGAGGCTCGGTATGCGAGTGGGTATTTTTCGGGTTCACTGGCTCCGGCTCCTGGTGGCGTTCCGTTCGTCACCCGGGAGAAATGAGGAGTGAGTGACCACCTCCACCTCCAACTCTGCCTCCACCCCCGCCTCCTCCACGCTGCAACGCGCTCGACTACAAATTAACCGCGCTGCTGATAGTGGATACTCCTTCGCCCCCATGTGTCGCGCCTCGGCCCATTAGCATCTGATAATGCGAGTATTTTATTAATTGGGGAATGATTAGACTCCCCCACCGCGGTGTTGCCTAATCGCGGGATTGTAGGCGCTTGTTCGAGATCATGACCAATGAACGACGAATCATTGTTGATTAAGTGATAGCTACCAAGCTACCTCTGGGGCGCTCTGAGGTGTTTGGTTGAGGCGCTCAGCGGGCTGATTATTGACATCGACAGACAAAGCGATAAACAAAAAAGACATGGTAAGTATGGAGTGATCTCATTGGTTGAAATGGGTGGTTCTTATAGACTAAGGGAGAAAATGCTGGACTAACTATAGGGTCCATCATGGGTTGCCGTTAGTGAGTCTATTTCCTACCTCCTTTGTCCGTTGCAACCACCCGATTTCACTAAGAAGATCCCTCCATAACCTTTATGTATTCTTTGTCAATGGCTTTGTCTATCAATTTCAATAATCGGCCCGCAGAGACGAATGCTACCGAGCTAAGGAAGAACGCCATATGAGTCTTTAGACGTTGCCATGTTTCCGTCAATAAAAACCGTATTTACTGGAAAAATTGTGAATTTTTTTTTCAATTTTTTCGAAAATTTTGTTGGCAATTTGAATCTAACACTTCTGAAAATGTTAAGAAAAAATAATTTCCTCAATTTTCCTGAAAAATACATGTTTTATCCGCGGAAATTTGGCAAATCTCTAATGTACCTACAGCGTTTTTCCTTAACAGAATAGTCTTTTTCATAGTCATTCCTCAGACAGTTTCTGCATGGAAAAAAAACTTCGCGTATGCGACCCGAAGTTTAGGTCGTAAGGATCTGAAGTCTTCAGATCGCGCATCTGAAAACTTGAGGACTAGTTGCGGAAGTTCGGGCCAGAAATCTAAAGTACTTCAGTCCTTATTCTATCGGCCCTTGAAAAGTTTCTACAGAAGTACTTATTCAGATGCGTGATTAAAACTTCGGCAACAGGACCTTAAATTTTTGGATGCGTGATTCGAAAACTATAGAGATCCATATTCCAAATGTCCTGAACTTCGAGTCTCAGGCTAAAAGTTTTTTCTCCTTCTCAGTAGGCCCCATGTCATTTCCATTGTGATTAAGAGAGGTTAAAGGAAATCTCTAATTTTGCACCATAAATAGGACGCTTTTTGCGAGTTTTGAGTAAAATTCAGAAATTTCTTACTCTCGAACTGGATCCTTGCAAGGGATTACAACGATTTGGAACTGCGAAAAGTAAAAAATATGGTCGAAATTTTTTTGTGATATTGATAAGTTTTATGGTGGATGTAAACCTACCACAAAACTTACAAAACTCGCAGTATATTTTATTTCATTTTTCGTGTTTCCTCTACCGATGAATCGTTGTAGTTATTTTTTTCAAGGACCCATTATCAAGGTCATACTGCTAAATTTTATTCAAGGTTTGTAAAAATTGTCCTTAATATGAAGAAAAGGGCGGAAAACGAAGAGGAAGGGGTGAGCAAAGAAGAATAAGAGGAGAAAAACTATGAGAAGGAGAGAAGGTGCAGAAGCAACCGTCTACAAAAGAACATTAATAACACATACGTTGTTTCTAAAATGAGCCGAAACTCTTGATTATTTATTGCAAAATGAGGTCCGATTAGTTTTTTTCTTCTTTCACATATTTTCGATGAAATCCGGCAAGTATGGTCTTGAAGTGATAAACCAAGATGCCAATAAAGACGCATTCATTCGGTTGACAACACCCACTACGGCGACGACGCGACGCACGCCACAATGCCGCCACCACGGTAAACCAGACGTGCCGTGGCTGGCGTCTCCGTCTGTCTCAGCCTGTTGTCGATTTTCAGTGTAAAAATCTTGAAGATCTCACAATGTTGTCACTTGATGTGGAAACGTAATGTTTTCCAGAGTTTGGCAAATTTTTGGAATGGGCAATCACATTACAGCGGAATATGTATGTATCGCAGGCAATTATTAGCAATCGCCAGCAATTTGCATGCCAGGGTGAATGAATGTAGACAAGCATAAAATTCAAAAATAAGAGAACAAGATTACAGAGCTGATTACGTTGCCTATAGTGTGAATAGACACTTTTCCCTCCGTAAAATAATGGTAAAAATAAGCCCACTCAGAGAAGCATGAAGTCAACCCCGTGATATTAGTTGGTTTTTGATCGGACAGGCAACTAAACTAACTCTGGGACAATGCTTGGAGTATCACAAAATATGAAGGCGCTCTAAGCCAAGATCGTACTTGTGAAAGTCACAACCCTTAAAATTTTCATTATGCCGATGTATATTATCGCAATTTATCGAAAGAACATGTGAGTCGCTTGCAAACTGCGATAAATGCGAAAGAAGACCTCCGCTTTAACAACTCGTTGAACAGAATCTATACTATTGACGAGCCAAGTTTGCAATAAGCATCTTTTACAGTAGGTAAATGCAGATTTAAAATAATCAGGAATCCTTGATTATTGCCGGGATTAGAATGTGGCGATATGGGAACACTGAGACAGGGATTGCCACGTAAAAGTCAAAGATATTTTCCAACGATTAAGGTTGAACTGATGATATTCGAAATTTGCGTCCATTTTGCCAACCGAAACAGAGTTCATCGGTGCGAATGCCCTCGAAAAGACGCCGCAGAGGGAAGACTTAAGCCGGGTAAAGTGAGGTCAACGAAAATGACCTCTTGGGCCTGCTCACACTTGTTCCACCTTACTTTCTACCGTTTCCTCATTTGAGTTCTTCTTGGAATGTGGAAGTATCGCTTCCTCCACGTCCGGCACCTAAACATAAGAAATTAAACAAAAATTTAAATTCACTTGCTCAGAGATAGCAGCAGGCACCCAGTGGATCGAATTAATAAGAGGGGTCGGACATGAAATTTTTAACAAAAACTAACAAATTTTGATGTCTAATTCGTCATAGTTTGAGACATAAAGGGTGATTCTGAACGAAAATTTCACGAGAAAACCAATGGAACCATTTTTAAAGTCTCAAAGTTTTGATTTAACGGAGTTATAAGCTTTTAAAGTTTCCAAATTTTGTCCGACCTCTCCACTGACTCGATTCACTGTGCGGTGGGAGCGTCAGTTCAACCGATTCTTAGATAGAGTACCCTTAGGAGGTTAGGTCATGCAGCTCTTAAGGCCCCAAAAGGCAGCCTACCTATGAGCCTATGAACTCAAATTGTCCAGAATGGTTTATCTTTACAATTGTTACGACTCTTCGTTTGTAAAGAACGTATTTGGCTCGGTTTTTGCATAGATTTACTAATTTTCTCGGAAAGACGCCTATTCATAAACTTTCTTGGCCATTTTGCTTTGATTTTGGGATCGAAAAATTGACAGCGGAATTTTTCTAGTGTTTTCCGTGTTAGAAGGTTGGCTACCCTTTTGGGCCCTAAGTGCTCCTCATTTCTTCAGGTACGTGTTCTCTCCTTATCGGTCCTTTAATTTCAACCAACTCTTAGAGGGGAGAAAGTAATTCAGAAAAACATCAGACTATAAAATTTAACGTTAGGAGCTTAGAAACTTGGATAAATTTACTAAAATCAATACTGTCATTAGGGTTTTGGCAAAGGATTAGACCATAGTGTGATTAGACTTACTGTTTCTAACCGATTCAACTCCTTTTCGGAAAGCCTCTCAAGTATTGCGACGGCATAAGAATCACCCACAATATTGTTCGTAGTTCTGCATCGATCCCTGAAAAACAAAACAAATTAAGCGTGAGTTCTTTTTGCTGAGAATAACAAAAAAGAAATAAAGCAAAAGTTTGTCTGATTCTACAGGAACAACAATAATGCAGCTTTTCCATCAGGTAGTATGGAGAAGTGACTCCGACAGGTCCTTCAAAATGAAAACTTAAAATTAATTATGGTAGGAAAGATGTTAAATTTTACTAATTCGTTCAAGATTCATGGAGTGACTAGAAGTATTAATAATTCAAAAGTCTGATTGATTCTATGAGGATCAGGAATTTATCGATATTGCTCACACCAATGACCATAGATTGACCTTAAATAGAGCGCATTGCGCTGCATATGTTATCTTGTCCAGTGGTTCGACTAGTGAATCGATATCGAATGACCGTGATCGGTAAAAAGCATTGGCAGTATAGGAATTTATCATCCGTATCATTCGATGAGGATACAACCATCGACCCGTAGTGGGACCGTGTGAGAAATAATATACGGTCATTCATAATTTCGAATATTTGTGGGAGGTTATTTGCCTAGCTGCAAATCTGAAGGCACGTTTCTGGTCTGCTAAACTTGATCCATGACCGCCATACTGAGGCCAACCTAACTCGAGGTTACTGAGAATATGTTCAGAGCGTCGCTTCATCATCCGTTCCTTTTCTTTTACACCTGGTACTCACATAAACCAGTCGATCGTGAATAACAAGGAAACATCGTCAGACGGCACGCCAATTGTTCCGCACAGCATTACAATGGTTACCAGAGAGGCACTGGGAATGGTCGCCATTGACATCGTCATTATAGACACGATGATCCTGTACAGAAATTAGAAACTGTTAAATGAACTATATGTAAACTGTGTTCCAAGTGTGGAAAGGACGATTTCAACCAAAAGCAGCCTAACCTCTTGAGGCGTTGCCTATTTTCCTCTCATTTTTTTATTTTTTACAAGAAAATTTAGCAACATTTTGACTTGAGACTTTATTATTGTAACCTTCACAAGTTATGGAGACTCAAGAAAAGGTTCGGAGCGATGCGTATCGTATAGCTGCGCACGCGCTTGAGTGTAATATCAGCGGTAACCGTGCGATCATCTGCCATCATTTTGAAGTGATACGATTCCAAGGCGCACTCAGCAACTATTCCACCTCGGAAGTATTGCACAGTATCAAATGAAAATGAAGGCGCACTGCCGTGTAAATTGATTTGTATCGTCTATCACTGTGTAGCACCGTGGCGATCCTGTGATATTCGGCTCCCGTACGATCAATTTTTTGGGAACTTAGTACCAACTGGTATTTCCTGACAGGAAACTTAAATTTCAACTCGAATTTTTAAGAAATTCGATAATATAAAATGGTGGATGTGGTCTAAAACGCAATCCCGGCTCCTGTTCGATCCTGATTGCTGCCAAGGGATAATTTTTGAGGTAAAGTTCTTTGTAGCTCAACCCTCTATGACAGCGTTACGAATTCGTAACAGCATACTTTTGGGATTTTTAAAAATTGAATATGTCGTCTGTGCGGCATGGTTTTGGAAATTTTCGTCAGTTTTCCTTTTTTGGAATACCTGATTCTCCAAAGTTTAAACTTTTGAACAAAAAATATTGGCACTCTATGTCTTTTTTGTAAGCTACAAATTAGAGAATTGTCCCCCAGAATCTGAAATCGAAAAATACTTCATGCCATAGAGGCTTTTAATAAGCTAATATAATTCAGCAAATCCACAACAAAATCCACAAAAAAGGCTTAAAATTTTAGCAAGATAAGGTCTTGTGGACTTACTCTAGAGTGATGTAATCAGACAGCCCCAGTGGTACATTGTTCATTTGAGCGATGAAAATGAGAGCGGTGACCATAAATAATCCAGTTCCGTTTAAATTCAAGCTTCCCAACGGAAGTACAAAGCGCACAATTCGTTTATTTTTCTGCAGCTTTCTCTCCAGGATGTCGAATGATATTGGCATTGAGGCAGTCCTGTTAATTCAAATGCAGGGTTTATCATTTACCTCAACTAATTACTCCTTGAAAACCTATTAACTTTCCATATTGAAGCAGCAAGCTCATCATTCATAACTGGCGACAGCCGAGTGCGTACTACCGTTCTTTATTCGGACGTATTTCCGCTAAACGGAACCAGAGACAGGTGGGAAAGAAGCGGTGTGCTCGTTAGTTCTCGGTTGTAAGAATGAATTTGAATTATTAAGTGCCAGTGACGTCAGCGGCGACGAAGGGGACGGACAAGGACGAGTCTCTTTAACTTAATCTCTTCTTTTTAGTTTTCTTTTTTTCCATTTTCCCTTGCTTTCATTTTTCCCCATCCGTCTTTAATCCTCTTTCCCTTTGTCTCCTCCACCCCCTATATTGTCGCTTTTTTTCTTAATCTTTCCCAGTCTCTGAAAGTCTTGCCTTCTTTCGCACCGGGAGCTTTGTGAGATAGTACAACCTGCTTACGAACGTAAAACGATAACTTATAAGTCAGGTCATTTGGAGGAGCGAGCGACACTGCGCGGCGCGCTGTGGACCGAATCAATGGAAGAGGTTGGACTTGACTTTTGTTACTAAAACTGCAAATTTTGATGTTTATTTCGCCAAATTTTAATTTTTGAGGGGTTGAATGCCATAGAGATTTTGATGAAAGAAACGATAGGACCATTTTTAACACCTCAAAATTTCGTAAAAACGGAGTTATGAGCTTTTAAAGTTCCCACATTTAGTCCGACTTCTCCCATTGACTCGATCCAACGTGCGGCGATCTCACTCCCCTCCAGCCCTCCGAACACCGCAGCCTCCTCGCGACATCCCTCCCGGCCCTTCCCTTCCATCTAGCGCCACAACTGTTGCTCATTCATGAAGCCTCCCCTCCACTCGATAACGGAGCCGCCACTATAACTACGTCTCCCCCTCCACTCTACTACTCCATTGACTTGCATCACTTCAACTCGTGAGACGCTCGCTAGATAGCGCTGGCCTTATATACCGTAAATTTTGCTCTCCCGCACAACTGGCCCATTAGCTCAGTTGGTTAGAGCGTCGTGCTAATAACGCGAAGGTCGTGGGTTCGATCCCCCCATGGGCCACTAATGTTTTACTGGACCACAGCGTTATTTTACTTTTCTTCCTCATGAACTCGCAGTTTTGCAGTTTTTTTCTTTCTGAATAAAGACAAAGCCATGAATTATTGGAAACCTTAATAAAGCATTAGTGCAAAATTGGCTTCCATATCCGAATCAACTATCATGCAAACAGTCTTACAGCGTAAATTTAAAAAAAAAAAAATTGATTACTGCGTATTGAAAAGTGTAGATAAAACACTGAGATAGTTAACAGCGTCTTTGGAAGCTCAATACCTGATTTTAAAAAGTGTTAAAAAAAATGTTTAAAAAGGTAAATAAGATAAAATTAAGCTTGTCTGAAATTAAGAGGGCATGTTTCAAGCATGTGCAATTTATCCTATCATTTACTCTGTTTAATTTCATTTACAAGTTCATATATTTAAAATAAATCAATAAAAAATAAATCAATAAAAAATAAGGAAAATAAACATTGCATCGAGTCCCGAATATTCGCTCATGCTGAAGAAATAGACCACAGAACGCGCCTGACTTATCACCTAAACAAGATATTATTTTTAAACTTTGTTACCGAGAATCGTGTATTTTTAAAATATGCTCGTTTAAGTACAGAATGTCTGGATCTAAGAGCTTGTATCCTGATCCTAAGAGAATTCAGTTTGAATAAACAAAAGAATTATTGGTAGCTTTATTTTTATTTCTGTTGAGTTTTAATTATTTACCTACTTGGACGAAGTTGCGAATGCAGTCAAAATACAGGGCATTAACTGAACATAATAGGAGAACGGATTCGAGCGAAGGAATATTAAGTACAGAAGCTGAAGAAACACAAACTGATGAGTCGCCAAACCAATCAGAGCGGTCGCCATAAACCACGCCAGTTGGCTGAATGTTTGACCTATGTCCGGCACGGAGTAAATTTTGGCACAGATGATGCTTCCTACGGCAACAGGAGTGAACCTAAAGAAATAAAATAATTTAAAATATTGATAAATAATTATGAAATATTGATAATTATAATTGTGAAATATTGATAGTTATAATTATTATATATTGATAATTATAATGATTATAATTATATAAATAATCACAATATTATATTTTTATCCTAATAAAATAATTAATATGAATATTGGTCTTTCTCGTTCTTGTAGCGTTTACCTCGCTTGCACCAATACTGCCGTGCTAAGGAAGAACGCCCTGAGAGCCTACATATGTAGTCAAATCCTATTGATTTAAATACAAATTTTGAGGGTAATTTGCGAATATTTGTCTTCGTTTCCCTGGTAAAAATTGGCAGTAGAATCTGTGTTCCAAAATACCATAGACCTAAAGCCGGCTGTAAGATTTTCAATAGCCTCTATAGCCGGATGCGCAATTTCTTATAGCCTTTTATAGCCGATGGCGATTAAGCAACAGCCAGGCGATAAAGTGTATATTAAATGGACTGAGTTAAGCAGAAAGGAACCAACCCACATTTTGGAAAAAATTGAGTTATGAGTGGTTTTGAACTCAACCTCTGCTCTACTATCTATCGCCAAAAATTCAAAGTTTTTGTTGGAGCAACTTTTGCAGAAATTGAACTTGAAGTTAAACTTTTACATTGAGTCTTATGTAGGAGCTAAACTTTAAGCCTCTTTTTCTTGGTTCGATTCCGATGTGGCTTGGTTCCTTTCTGTTTAACTCCGTCCAAATGTTACTAATAACGGATGCTAGGACTTATTGAGCTTTTGAACTACCGCTCTATTTTCGGGGCGTAGTATCTTGATTTATTTTGCGCGGAAAGCTGCGTACTTTTGAAGGACGCCTGCCATTCCTAATATGTTGGAGCGCCTTCATTTTTGTATGATACTGTGCAATACCTCTGGTGTGAAATAGTTGCTTCAAGCGCCGTGGCACGCTGCGGCGCGGCGGGCAGGTAGCCAGCGCGAAAAGAGCATTAGCGCCTACAAACCTAACAGGGATACTTAAAGCATTGCGCAATGCGTGAAGTATCCCTGTTAGGTTTGTAGGCGCTAGTGCGCGCTTTACTCTGGCAGCACGCCGCTCCGCTCTGTGTTAGGCTACATTATATAATCTCGCGGAGTCAGCGTTTTTCAACCCATGATTGCACATCATGTATGGATTATTCTCATTTTAATTGATGAAAAAAATATGTATTAAAGGAAAATATAATGTGTGTTTTGTAAATATTATGGTGGTTCCGTATCAAACTTAATGATTTCCAAATCGCACAATTTCTACACAATTTTTTATAGCCTTTTATAGCCGATGGCGATAAAGTGTAAACCCCGGCGATAGGAGCTATAGCCCGGCTGTATACTTTTTTTATCGCTTCGTATAGCCCGGCTATATGATTTGTTCCGCATTCTACAGCCAGCTATACGGTTTTCTAGGGCCTTCTTTAGTCGGCTATAAGAATTCCTATGGTATTTTGAAACGCAGCTCCTATCGCCAATTTTTACCAGGGTTTTTTTTTTTTTTTTTTTTTTCAAAGAATTTTATTCGTAATAAAGTCTAAATTATCTGAACATTTTATGAAACAATTATAACACTTCTCACAAACAAACATTTCATTAGAGGCAGTTTGGCGAATGATCATACGCACGTGTCGTTCTTCCTTAGCGCAGCAGAATAATTCTTAAGAACTCCTCTGAAAAGTATTCGTTTTGAAGATCGCGGGTACAATTGTTGTCTCTTCTCTGAATGAAATCAACTTCGCAAATTAGAAAAATCCAATTTAAATTTTATGTCTTCCTTTTCTTTTTTCTTCCTTTTTTTCTTTCTTTGTTTCTTTTTTTTGTAGCTAGGGAATTCGTGAATTAATAAGGAGGGGAGCTACATGGTGAAAATATCAACATCAATAATCAATACCGAGCCATAACTTTTGGTCCTGTCAAATTATTACAGTTTTTCATTATACTTTTCATAAGTAATATACTAAATTATTTCTTTTAAAAAATAAGTATTTTCCTTTTTAAATCCCTTTGGAAGGTAGGGCTCCTCTATGTAGAATTTGGGTATAATAGAAAAATCTTACCAAACAACTCCCATGAGTATTTTCAAAAGTGCCTCGTATAAAATCGTGAAAAAATCCACTGCCACTTTTGCTTTCTTACCGAGTCCACCTAACACGGAGCCGAACAGGATGAAAAATGTCACAATGCCAAGCATATTTGTTCCAGGCCTGAAAATTTATACCATGAACAAAATGCAATATCAATAACGGACTCAACATTTAACGTAAATACAGGTCCCAAAAATAAGATAAGGAAGAATGTGGTTCCCATAAAGTTACTCTGAGTACATTTTTCGTCACAGCCTTAATAAAAGCAATTTTTGGACAATAATAAAAAAAAAAAAATGTAAAAAAAAAGAGCATTAGGTACTCCTTTATTGATATCAACTGCAAAAAGCTAAACAAAATACTAAGGAGACCCGAGTAAAAAATTCACGAAATTCACTATTCAGAAGCATGAAGAGAAAACAAAAAAGTTTTACCTTGAACCAATAACTTTTTCGTAGGTGCCATTTGTCTTCGGAACGTACTTTGATACAGTCTATAAAAAAAAAAAAAAAAAAAAAATTACCAAACTTACAGTCTTGAAATACAATCCAACATTTAAGGATGAATAACAAATTGACAGTAGTAAATAAAAGTAAGATTATCAGCTTGTATAACGTGTTTTTAATAGATCTAAAATGCCGCAAGTACTATACGTCTGTAGAGATACTAGGTAGCTAATGAGAAAATACCAAAGTAGACATTTTTTGAGGCTTCCTCTAAAAATTAATTTCTTTTTCTTCTCTCTTTCTCTTTCTTTCCCTCCCTTTTTCTCTTTTCTTTTCCCCCTGATTTTGTCTATCAGGTCCATTTAGAATTTTATTTGTGCAAAAACTCTTTTCCTCGATTTTCATCAAACTTAAGGTAAAAAAAAGTCAGGATTCATTCAAATGTCTGGATATCTTACAAATTTTTAGGTGTTACCCGGCTTTTGCAAATAAAATATTAATTAGGATAGCTTCCCTTTATGTGGGTCCGTGGAACCTAAGTAACACTATAGCCTCATTTAAGTACGTATTGGACTGCATTTTGCAATTTGTGGCTACAAATTCTAACTCATCTGATAAAAAACACTTATGTACATCGGGAAACTAATGGCACTTACGTTTTTTTTAAACAGAGCCGAAATTTATGGTTCTTAATTGCAAAATGTAGTCCAATTGAACCACATTATGCAATTCCGAACTGCCATTTCTAGCTCATTTTAGAAACCATTTAATTATCATTCCTTTGCAAATAGGTGATTTTATGAATGAGTCAGAAATAGCAGTTCCTTATCGCGAAATGCAGTCAAATTGGTACATTCAGCATAGCAGAATCTGTAAAATGTATATAGGAAACAAGAAAATTTATACTTATTTCTAGTGATGCGACCATTTCGTCGTCTAGGAGGCTAGTTTTGCCTACCTTTCAAAAGAAGCAGGAAAATCACGCATGCCCCTTAGCAGAGTATGTAGTTTGCCCTCATCTAATGAGTATATAGGCAAAATCATATTCCACTCGTCGAAATGGTCGTATCATCAGACATTGAAGGAAAACTTTTCCTGTTTGTCTGTTCATAGCGCGTCTGCAACCGACCATTATACAGTAGTAAAATATTCGGTTCCGAATTCCTTGCCGAACATTATCTCATAGACTTTTCCGCCCCCGAAAATTACTTCGAGTTATTGTATGAAGAAAAGCTCAGCGGCCCATATCGCCATATATCGTAAAATACAATATCGTACACTTACCGATTCGAAAGAGGACGAAAGAATGTTGTCCGAAATAATATTTCTGAAACATTCCAAACGAGATTAAGAGAACTTACAAACTGCGTAGAATTTATAGTGCTTGACAGAACTTTTAGATAGACGTGAGACTAACAGAAGAATGACATAAGACCTATACAATATAATATAATATAACATTATACCTATATAATATAGACATTATAATTCTCTGTTATGGTGGTAATGTAGCATTGCGTCCATGACATTAGACTCCATGCTCACCTACAGAAAGTTCGGCTGCTCATCACGTCCAAGATCTTGGACTCCATGCTCAATTTTATGAGGAATATTTTTTTCGAAAAATCAAAGTGAGCATAGTGTCCAAAATTGTGGGGTGCCTATGTTCTCTGACCTTAGACGATCATAGAGTCCAAAAATTTATCAAGACAGTTTTTGTGAAATGAATACGAAAAAAAATGTGTTCTCCCAGAAAATTGTTCATTCAGGTTAGGTTAAATTTGCTTGGGTTAGTTCAAGTTGGATTATATAAGAAAAATATGCGATTTTCTATGATGAAGAATGGATGGGCATTAAAACTACTGGAGGTCTCCTGATATTGGACTCCATGCTCAAGCGGAGAAGTGAAAAGTTCAGTGATGAGCATGGAGTCCAAGATCTTGGACGAGATGAGCAGGCAAACATATCAAGGGTGAGCATGGTCCCCGCACGAAGAGGAAAAATTACGGAAGTTTCCAAGAATGGACGTTGAGACGTTTTCCATATAAAAAATTAAGTATGACAGGGAGTCTGCGACGTCGCAAACCGAGATACGTGGTTTGGTAGTTTCACCGTCGCCGCACAGTGGATCGAGTCAATTAGAAAGGTCGGACATGGAATTTTTGACTGAAACTGCAAATTTTGATGTTTATTTCGTCACATTTTAAATTTCAAGGGGAACTTCAAGATGAACATTTCATGAAGAAACCAATGGAACCATTTTCAGAACTTCAAAGTTTTGTATTAAAGGAGATATAAGCGTTTTAAAGTTTCCAAATTTTGTCTGACCTCTCCTATTGACTCGATCCACTGTGTGTCGGTGTATGAAAATTGAATGACAATGATGCAAACTCGTTATCTTACCTGCCAATATCAAACAAATTATCGAGGGTCGACAGTGCAGGCCTGCTATCATTCCTTAAAATGTTTCTCACTGCACCAGGGCTCCCGGGATGGATCCAAACACTCAGTAAAATTCCAAAAGCAGTGGTAATGAAAGTGGTGATTAAGAAGTAAATCGCGGCCCTCACCGCAATTATCCCATTCTTCTTGACATTCAAAGTTGCCGTTCCTGCAGGATTGAAATCATAAAACTATTCGTTTTTGCCTCGTGATTTAACTCGCTACTGCAACAAATCTCATTACAGTCAGCCGTGTTAAATGCTCTCTACTTCAGTGGTTCTGACTGTTCTGCCTATTTACATCCCTAATTGCATAGATTGCTATAGGGAGCAAACTGCATAGTGAAACTACTGCAATTCCACTGAGGGTTGTGTATGTTGCCTAGCTCCTATTTGAAGGGGGCCCATTTACTGAAACTTACAGCAGTGAAATTGAAATAGGTTGCAATTTTTCATTGCATTACATATTGCCTATGTTTCTGACACATAAAGCTCATTTAGTTGATAGTTTAAAATCGGCATAAATCGATTAAATGATGTAAAAATATTGTAATTTAATGATGAAAAAATTTTAGTTTTATTGAAAGCAAATTGAAATTTAATTTCAATATTTTCGCGGCACTATGCTACTTGGGACTGGAGAAAAAAGCAAAATCAATTCTGAAGAGCACGTATAACCTCTATTTTTTCAAAACTGCAAAGCCAGTTTTGGAAAGTACAGTAAGTACGAGGAGTTTCGCCTAAATACTATTATAATAGAGTACTTGACTTGGCACTTCAATTTTTGCCTTTCAGGGTGAATAGGAAAGAATACGTTTATCATCAAACTTTTCAATGAGCGATTATCATTATTTCAAAATCACAGAAGATCAGGCTGAAATATTTAGACGCAGCTTAAAACCCCCTGCCCTTAAATTTCCTGGGAACTCCTCATTTACACGGAAAAAAATGACTGTGCGCGGATAACCATCTTGGTTTTGTTAATTAAAAGTTGGTACCGTATACATGACAAAATTGATAGAATAACCAACGGCATTGTATTGTCCACAACGTTTTTAGGGAAATCAATCATTTTCAATTAGTTGCTACTAGCTATTACAAATCTGTTCACCGTAACAAAATTGATGGTAAACTACAAGTTGACTCATTGCACCAAAAAGTGCGCTTGCGCTTCACCTATCTTGTTTTTGGTTGATGCTACTCGGTTAAGTGGGCTCATTGAACTACAGAATGCGTTAGTGCAAATTATAAACTTGTTGATTATGAAGGTCACCATCTTAGATAACTCAATTAAAGTATTTTGTTAATAATCTGCCCCGTCAATTTTTTACGCTTTACCAACATTGAGTCACCGAAGAAAGCAATCAGATATGGGCTGATTAGGGAAAGTATGTTGATAAATTTTCAAGAATTCATATTCAACCCACATTGTGTGACTGATAAGCGTGTAATAATATGTTCGTGGAGCGTACTCCTTTTCCCGTCCCTGGCTCGGGCGACGGTAAAGTCGCCGCAAAACTATATGACTTCGCGCAATTAATTATTCTTGACTCTGCTCGGTTTTAATGATAATTAGAGGGCATTTATTACAACAATTCAGAAACTCGGACGATGTTAAATTTTTCACTGATTTAAAAAAAAAAAAAAACGGATTAAAACGAACTAAAATATTCATCAAAACCAAAAATTATTTCATTCTAAAAGTAAAGTATACCTCATATCGTAATTTTTGAGGGGAAAAATAAAACTAACACTGATAGGAGGTATGATGGCGCGGAGCGCCTTCAGGGGGTTGGACCGCGTAGCGGTCAGGGGGCATAACCCCTAGTATTTCACTATTTGCCTAGGTATTTGACAAAACGCCTAATTTTACAATTTGCCTGCGACATATCGATTGCAGTGTTTGAAAATTTCTTTTCTCCCCCCCCTCCCCTTGGCACCAAGTTTTACGAAAATCCGACGAGCAGGAACCGAGATAGCGTTTTAGGTCACGTCCGCCACCTTGGTTTTTCGAATTTTCGAAATTAGACTAAAAATTCGAATTTAATCAATGGAATGGGAGCCGATGTATCTATTTAGGCTACTTCCGCCGTCTTAAATTTTCAAATTCAGAAAATTCAACTTGAAACGCATCATAACCAAAATCTAAGCTCAGATTCGGCTTCCTCGTGAAAAATCGATGCGATTTCATGTTTCATATGTTACCATAGCATAAAAAAAAAGAGGGTAATCGTAGGCGTAAAGATTCTATCAAAGCCGGCCGGTATGCGGAAGTAGGCACAGAATTCAAACGTTTGAGCTACGCCGCCAGGCGCCGGGCGCCAAGCATTTGGTTCGTCCGTTTCCGAGAAAACAAACTTCTTCTTACTCATCAGCTGACCCACTCCGAATCACCCATGTTGCCACGTCGGACTGATATGTACACGCCTACGTTAATCTCTTTCCTTCATGATATGGTGACATATGATACATGAAATGGCATCGATTTTTCACGAGGAAGCCAAATCTGAGCTTAGATTTCGGATATTATGCGTTTGAAGTCAAATTTTCTTTTATCTATTTTAATCACTCAGGAAAATTTGCGGAAACTCATTAGAATAACAGTGTGTATTCTTTTAAAAACATTGATCGAAAATAAAACATTGGCGGTATTTGAATCCATTAATCTCCGAGATAACTTGAACACGGTTGTTTTACGACTTTTTACGTATGTTGTTTTCTTCCGCATTGGTTGTCGGCAGCGTAGCGGCCAAAGGCCCCTGGTCCCTGGTGCTAATAATAGTTTTCAAAATCAATTTTTTTCTACATTCAAAATTCCAAGGAAATGGCAGAAATTTATCAATGAACCAATCTAAATATGGGATTGAATTCCCTGGTTTTCCGTTCAAATCTAAGCTATGTACAGGTTTTTCGGTCAAGATTCTCATCATACTGAATAGCTCAATTAGGGTCTTCGGCTAGGGTTACATAGGTCCCAGGTTCAATCCCCACGGTAGGCAAAAAAATTTGATAGGTCGGATACGACTACAGCACCTCACAATAAGTACTGTAGTCTCATTTACTCGATTTCGAAATGTATTTACGCGATTAACCCTTTTCCACCATCCCCTAGCTGCGGACCCCGACATTGCACACATTTGTATTCAATTTTTTTAGCTGTACGTTTCACAAGAAAATGCTCCTCTTTATGGCTAAAAACACAAAATATTAGGTTCTCCTTGCTTTCATGATTGATACACTAAACATCCGGATGGGTCAGTTTACCATCTTTGAAGGTCTATCTCAGCAACGTTGTGCGGGACGTTCACGGAGGACGCCGCGCCCGCCTAGCAGTGTTGGTGCGAATTACCATCTTTGTTGTCAACGCCCACCTGATCGCGGTTTGAGGTTTCTAACCATCATACATTTGTGCTCGTAGCAAAATTGTTCTCAGGGGTAGAATCTGGGAATCCAAGATGGTGAATGTCACCTACTATCTGGCTATGAGCACCAAAGATTTTTTTCCGTGTACATCGAATCCTCTATGTTTTGAGCTCTCTCAGGAGATGCCTCAGAATCCGGCATTGGACCAGTAGAAAACTATGACAAAATGTGCAAGCTTGATAGATCCATGATAAAAATAGTAATTAACTCCATTCCTATAGAATAAAATGAAGAGGACTGTATTAGGTTAATGGTCCGATAAACTGATGATAAACATCTTTATAATTTAAATTACCTGTCGTAATACAAACTGCTACAAATGGCAACATCATCAATTTCAACGCTCGAAAGTAAATTTCTCCCGGGTAAGATATTATGCCGATTTCTCCTGGGCTCAGCTTATACGGCCGGAGACTGTAACCTATATGACATAAGATAAAATCTCTATGCAGCTGAGGACTTTGACAAAGATTAGAGGAGTTTACAAAAATACTATGCGTTAGGCAAGCGACGAATCGTAGATTCGAGTCGCTTATTTGGTATTGAAATTATTTTAAAATCCTCATAAATTACACTTAAAGCACTTAACTGTATTCACGTCATGAAACATGTAAAGATCACAAATTCACAACTATACCGCAACGTTTTTACAAACTACACTTGAAGAGACAATAATGCCGAATTAAAGCATGGTCGTATGATTACATTTTATGAAAAAATGTTTGATACGTTGAGCGACACCCATAGTTTAGAAGATACACAGTATGTCAAAAAGGAGATGCGTTTTTAAATCCACAATAATGAGCAAAAATTAAGGGGTCGAGAGTTCCAAAGGGGGCTAGCCCCCCCCCCCAGAAATCTGCTTAGCTCCTTTCAATGTGAGGGATTTTGTTAAGTAAGTGAGTGACATTACTTATATCCTGGAAATTGTAATTGGATCTACTTTTTGGCGAGAACGAAGCACAAAATAGCTCCTATGTCGCCTTATTTTTCAAAAATTCCCGAAGGAGGCCCTCTGGATCCCTTTTTCAAGCAAGGGAAGTCCCCCGAACTCTCCTTTGAGCTGGGCGAGTCCCTCTTGTGTCACCAGGACCCCCTTAATGGGATGCCCTTCTACCCCCCTCCCACCACCCTTGCGGAAAGTTCCCAGTCCTATGTCCACAATGATACGCATAGTTCATGAGGTTATATTTTTTTGTTTACAGGTTCACATGAGCATCGAGAAAAATATCCATCTTGCCCAGTTATTTTTATTCAATATTGATGTACTCACCTACCAATCCACCGATGATGACACCAGCCACAGTGCAGAGCAAGAATCCATTCTCCTTCAATTTTTTCAAATTCTTTTGGGATTGAGACTCTCTTTTTTTGTTTTGCCGCATCTTTAACAAATTTAAAAATAGACAAACCATAGTACTACGAGAGTAATTCTTACATACATGAGAATAAAAGTAAAAGTGTCTGAAGAGGAAACCCACCAAAATGATGTGAACAAAGCTCACAACAGTAGATTTCCCGGCAAAAAAATTTATTTCATGGACTAAATACAAAAATCGGTTGCAAAAATTAATAATTGTACTTCGAAGAATTGAATTAAAATTCGACTTCTACGTGTGCCTTGCTGTAATGATTGGGAGTAGAATATCTGAGTATGCCCCTGAATTTTTTATATTATTCTCCCACATGAATAACTTAATGTTGAGTTTTTGGTAGACAAAAATATTTCCTTTGATGAACGGTTACATCTGTGATCTTTTTGAAGAAATGATGTGCTGCTTTGTTTATAAAATCTTCGATTAGATCGAAGGAATCAAATTTCACAAAGTACTGCGATGTGCCAAAATAAAATAAGTTAATAATCATGGTTAAGTCAGAATCAGAAAAAAATAGAGAAAAAAAGAGAAAAAAAGGGATGAACTAAAACATCCTGTCAAATGTATACATTTTCGTCGCCGAAATTCATGTGAGAAATGCGTAGATTGAATTTTTAAAAAGTTGAACCAGTTGAAGCGTATATCCGTGTAGTCCTTATTAAAGTTTATTAGTTAGTTACTTAATTTATCACGACGATCAGCAACTAGTCTATTTACGTCGGAGACAAGGAATTTACCTTTTTTTTAAATTCCTTTATTTAAGGAGCTTAAAAATTTCGATGATCACTATTGGATCATCAGAACTTAAAGGATGGATGTTTGGATGTACAACATTATAAAACGAGATAAATATATTTTTAATTCATCTGATATGTATTAGTGAACTTTGTTAATTTCAAAGTAGCAAAACCTATCACTGCTACATGGAATGCAATTTTCTACCATTACAGACCTACGTATTCTTCTCACTGCTGAAGTTCCTCCCTTGGATATCTCCTCGCAAAAAATACTTTGAATGTAAAAGAAATCAATGAGTATATAAAAAATCTGATTGAGTAATAACTTACCTTGATTCTAAACGCAAAATTATACGCTGCTTCGTCTAAACTTGTTGATTAAGTTAGTTGATTGAGTACTTTGACACATAAGGGAGTGAGGGCATTTGTGATGCCTAAAAATTGACTGAAAACACTCTGATAAACAAACCACTATGAGCACGCACTTTTAAAGTTATTTTTCACATTTCAGCTGTAACAGGTATCTTGTGTAGGTAAAAATAGGTTATACTTCCAGCTCAGAAACTTGAACTTGCACTGAATTTGTAGATAAATACCAGTGTCTCTCATTATCGCCTGCGTCAAGTACAGGAATAAGTGAAAATATTTGATAAGAGGCTGATATTTTAAAATGTCTTCAACAAGTTTTAAATATCTTCAAGTTTACTGATAAGAATTTTGATTGCCTTGGCCATACTCTGTAGGAGTCAGGATCTTCAGAGGACGAAGACGAAAAAAAAGAGAGGAAGGAGAATTCGAGGAAGGAAAAAGAAAAGGAGAAATAGAGGTAGAAAAAACATTCCTCCTCTTCCTCTTACTCCTTCCACTTCCTTCTCCTCTTCAAATTTTTCCGCTTTTTCCTCTACTTGCTCTTTTTCTTTCAACTTTAATATTTTTTTCTGCATTTTGACGATTATTTCCCTCAAATATTTTTCAGAACCACCCTTAACAGACAGGAATAATATCAGATTGCAAAGGAGGGAATTCATTTACATGTAAACGAGCCAAGCAGATTTGATATTTGAGAAGTTTTAATTACCCAAGTATATCACAGATTTCAATAAATTGCGATTATGCATGGATTGCGGTTTGCCAAACAGAACCGAAAGCATTCAACTGTTGCTAGGATTGTGCAACTTACATTATTTGCAAAAAATTACTAAAATAGGTAATTTTTGTCTTGAATTCATAGTTCATCGAGAGTAGAGATAAAACTTGTTTCGACGATCAGTTTATTGTATTTGCAAAGGAAAAAGGTTTCCCAATCTTGACGACATTGGAATGCTCTTGGTCTCTTTTTGCAAAATGCAATGGACATGATCCGCGGTGGGGTGGCGGATGGCAGGCTGTATAGCGAGGATCTAAAATGACAGAGCGCCTTAAAATGCGCGTCAATACTATTGAGACATTTCTCAGGCACAAATGTTTGCACACAAGCCTAGGATGTACAAATGAACTGCATTTTGCAATTTGGAGCTATAAATTCTGTCCCATCTGGAAAAACACGTATGTGCATAGGTAAACTAACGGTACAACCGTTGTTTTTAAACCGAGCCGGAATTTACAGTTCCTAATTTGTAATCTTCCGTCACATTCTTACGGCGCAATGATACAACTATTTGAACTCTCCGGAATGCGTGAGGTATCACGCCGCATTTAAAGGCGTTTTCAAAACAGCCAAGTTTCGATACCCGGATCATCGTCTTGCAAACTTCTTATTATTATGATTTATTTCCGACCATTTTTTTGTTTTCAATCCTCCTATAAAAACTACTCATTTGCTGAATACACTTCTGGCTGGAGCGCATTTTAGCTATGCATTCACGACTACTAAAATGTCAAAGGAAATCGACAAGACTAGCGTGTATGAAGGCTATTTCAATTGTAATCTGCCGTCGCATTTCTAAGGTGCAATGATTCAACTATTTGAACTCTCCGGAATGCGTGAGGTATCACGCCGCATTTGAAGGCGTGTTTAAAACAGCCAAGTTTCGATAACAGGTTTGTAGTTTCGCAAGAAATTGGAGCACAAAATCAAAAGAATGACTGATTTCACGAGCTGATGCAACTCAATAAATTTGTGTTTTATTTGACGGAAGCGTTAGAAAACAGTTCGGTCAGAAATTTAAATCAACCTACGGTCCATTATGTAGTTCATATTCTTTTGTTTTGTTCCGTGCCACTTGTTATTTTTAATACTCGTATAAAAACACAGATTAGTCCAGATCGCTAACATCCAATCTAGCCAATGCTTAGAAAGCGTGAGTAATTTTGCTTCAAGTTAGGCAACTTTAGAAAATTGATGGCACTACCAGTAGTGAAAGGACTTGACCGGATTGAGAGAAATTTCCTCTTGATTCTGATTATAAAGCTTTAGTAAAGTATAGATAGTAATGTATAATAATGGTTTTTGATCAGATAAGATTTTATCAAGTACTGTTATGCTAAGTATTCTGTTTCAATATTCTTACAACAGTTGGTAGCAATTAACTGCTCTCATGGGGGCCTGGCGGGAATTCAAAACTAGGAACCAAAAGTCTCATTTTGGCAGGATTTTGCTTTAATTTTCGGTTTCTAAGGCTTTAAACTTCAAAAATATGATATATTATAATCTGCAAATTTTTTCAATAATGTTATCTACTCAGAATACTGATGAACTCTGATTTGTTTATTTCCACCGATAAAGCACAAAAACATAGCCCGATTATACGAATAAAGAAGGAGAATTAATTAAAATACGGGTAGACAAGGCTAAAAATTATTGAAACACTTAAAGGCAGGACGTTTCGAGCTGCTACCAGCTCATTTTCAGCTGCAAAAACACATAAAAACAAGTAAAAAATTGAGTGGCGACCTGACCCCAGCCGTTATTATTAGAGTCCCTGAGTGGTTACGTGATAACGGCTGAGGTCAGGTCGCCACTCAATTTTTTACTTGTTTTTATGTGTTTTTGCAGCTGAAAATGAGCTGGAAGCAGCTCGAAACGTCTTACCTTTTAGTGTTTCAATAATTTTTAGCCTTGTTTACTCGTATTTTAATTAATTCTCCTTCTTTATTTATTTCCACCTTAATTATTTAATCTGGAAATATTGAACCACAAAAATTCTACTGAGAAACTAATTCTTGAATTCTTCGGAACGTTTCATATCCCACAAAAATCTGAAAAAGAAGTATTCTCCGGCCGAAAATCTGCTGAAAATAGCCAAAATTTCAGTTTTGGTTCCTAGTTTTAAATGCCCATGGATTTTCCCGCCAATGGCGCTCACAAAACTACTCACGCTCCTCCGCCGATGTTAGCGATCTGGACTAATCTGTGTATAAAAACCACCCATTTGCTAAATACAATTCTACCTGGAGTGCACTTCGGCTATGCATTCACCACTGCAAATATGTCAAAGGAAATCGACAAGCCCAGCGTGTATGGAAGCTATTTCAATTGAGGACACCGCACCAAGAACAACCGCGTTTTGAGAAAAACGCATTTAAAGTTTTGATTTTGATGTACTGCGCAGACTTTTCTATGCAAGTACCCTGTTTTGGTGTTTTTGGGTGACCTATCCCTTCTATTGAAGGATGCCGGGTAGATTTTGCGATACATTTTGGATTTATACTCTCATATATTTAATTTAAAAAAGCTGTTTATAGGCCATTATTACGCCCAACAGTCATTTTGGTGGCAATATGAAGTATAAATCATTTTAATCACGCATGATTAACGCAAAATGAAAGAATATCGACAGTGAGTAAAGGAAGGGGTAACTAGCACCTTATAGGCTCGTTTATAGGTCGTTCTTGCACCCATCGATCCAGAGGCCTGACTTAACTCGAAAAAAAAAGGTTTTTCGACCGCGAGCCGTTACCTATCTATATTCTATCGCTACCACAGCATAGTTCAGGGTACGTAGAATCCGAAAAGCAGATGGGCGTAGCAACGCCCTATACGCATATAGGCTGTTCTTCGTGCGGTGTCCTCAATTACAAAATGTAGTCCAAATACCTTGTCTGCCTCAGTTTTCATTTGCGATGTGCTGAGCTACAGATCTGTGGAGCAACTATTCGTGCCTAAGAAGAATCTTCGTAGTGCAAACGAAGAATTACAGGTGCTCTGACGTCGCAGTAAAGTCCGCGGCCGCACCGCCGCAGGCGAAACGATGCGTACCTGGAAGATTAAAACGCCTTCATCTCCGTGCGTATGCAACACGGACATCCGTGGAGTTCGAATAGTTGTATCCAAGCGTTATAATGAAATCCGTTTCATGTTCGTCGCGTGCGATATTGACTGCGAGCGCTTTGCTTGTTACTCTCACACCTCCATTTAATTCTAACGTCGCCGTATTATGTCATTGTACCGATTAATGATCGTTATGATGAATGTTAAACTATTACTGATTTTCATTGCATCATTGTCAATTTTCCGAAATTTTTGGTGCATCACAAGGGTTATTCAAGAATTACGTAACCCACTTAAATAGGGGAGTGGGTCTGAGTTTGCTTCATGAGGGGGGGTTCATGAGAGGGAGAGGGAGGCCTAATAAACCAGACTTAAATTTAAGTTACCTTACCAGTAAGCCCCCCCCCATTACTTTAAAAATAATGAAGGATGTCCCGTAAAAAGGATTACCTCAGCTATTTCTTGAGCTTTCGCTGCTATAATTTTAAAATATCCAGGGATTGGGGGTGGGGGGTAAGGACAGTCTTATTTATTCAAAACAGAGGCGAGAAGTTTTCTTCCGATTGCTTTAATAAAGAAAAAGGATGGGTCAAAAAGTTGGCAAAAATGCGTAATCCTTGAACGGCCCCGCATAGCAGCTACTTTTCAGCATAAAAATAAAAGAATTCCAATTGAAAGGAACAAAAAAATTTATTTGCTCGTGGTGAGTGAAAAACATGAATAAACGCATTTCGATTGGTATTGCGTTTCGTGTCTTATATACGAAAATAAATTCAATCAATGTAGGCGCATCAAAATATTCAACGCATAGGGAGTAAGTAAAAATACATCTCGAGTCCATGACGATAATTTAAAAAATGGATTAGAAAACGTAACTTTTTTTAAAAAAAATGGAATGCACAGCCAATGAAATACTTACTTGATTCTCTTAAAACTAGATCAACATAATACTATTTACATCAGCAATTATTTCCAATTGGTACAAAAATAAACTGGAAAAACTTAAATTAACTTATAATTACAAAATGAAGTCAAAATACATGTATAAAATGTAGTTTTCTTCAAGGCGAGTTTAATAGCACACGTCGTTTGAAAACTAAAACTAAAACTGCACTATGTACATGATACAATTTTAAACCTAAGTTTGATTTTAACAAAAATGCGCTTTGCTCCGCCATGCACAACCAAGGCTCCAAAAATCACCGGCAGTGGCGAGTTTTGAAAGTTGACAACACTGTTTTTCCTCCATTTAAAGCCATTAAAAATATCGATTTTTTGTATACGATTTTCGAACAATCGATTGTATAACATACATTCAAATGGAGAAGAACAGTGTTGCCACTTTGTAAGACTCGCCACTGATCTCCGGCAGAATATAATCATCCAATCAAGAGGAATCCATATCTTGACCGAGTTCAACAGAATAAAACTGAGTACATTAACACGTTTGTAAAAGTACCTATTATTAAGGGGGATGAATGGCAGGTATGTCTTTTGTGAAAAAAGCCAAAACGTTAGTTCTTTTCTGCAAAATTCGATCCAATTTGCAACGAAGCTGAAAATCCTTAAACAACATGATTGTTCTTCGTTCCATTTTCCTCGGTTTTATCGGTGATGACTGTCATAGCTGGGTTAACGTATCCCTCGTTAAGTTCAAGCTGTAAAAAACCAAAAATAGCCTTTTAAGTCTTTGATCAGATACAATATACCTGATTTACAGCTTTAAAAATACACTCACTTAATATGAGAGGCTTGGAGGACAAGGCGCAAAAGTCTAGTTTTTGTTCTATCGAAAAATACGTGTTTGAAGTTTCGAAATTGCATGGCTCCTTTCGGCGAGAGAAAGGTCAAACTGACTGCTTAAAAATTGGAATTTGAAAGCACATTTTTTCAGAATATGTATCAAGACTAATTTTACTTGAAATCATTGATATCTCAATTGTTTCATAAACTGCACGTATGTGCCTTGTTCTCCAAGCCCCTCATATATGCCTATTTTCTCACGCAAACTTCCCTTAAAATGCGAATTAAACATGAAAAATGGATTCTTTGCTAAACTGGTGCGAGACAGAAAAAAGGAATCATTTCTTTTAAACGTGACACAAAAATTATTATTAACACATCGAGGAAGTCTGAAATTTACTCCTAAGTTCACTGTCTGCGAAAGAAAGTGCGCATTATTCAATTTTCCGCTTTAAAAAGTAAAACTTTGGCAAAGACGTTATTCAGTACGAATAAGTCGTTCCAGTTTTATAGATCCAAGTGAAACTGAAATGACCGCCATCTTCTTTCGCAAAATTGTCAATTAAAAATAAATAGTGAAATAGATGTCATTTATCCGCAATCTGCTCTTCCCTGCTTTTCAAATTAAGTTTAATAATGGATTGATCTTGAAGTAAACAAAAACCCAATAATGGAAAATCTTTTTAGCACACACATTTTCAACGCATTTTATGAGTCATAGTGTTTTTGTCAACTTCAGACCCTGATGGAAACTTTATATCTCGACGATGAAATTGCTAAAATGCGTATCTTGGTTGCAGTGTTTCAAAATCTCCGCTCCTACTTTATTTTTGTAAAGGAGACCCAACCAACATCATGACTCGGCATTTTTACAGAATATTCTTCACATGGAAAAAAAATCCCAGAAATTTTAAAGAAATGACGTTTAGTAAAAAATCCAGTACGGCAGAAAATTTGCTACGCCGTAAACCGAGGTATACCTACTCATTTCTGCAGTTTCACCATCAAATTGCGTTATTTGTTTTAAAATCATTGGTGTTCCTACTACAGCGTAATTTTTTTTTTATTTAATATCCGAGAGACTAATTGTAAGTTAAATCACAGGTGTTTAAGCATAGCCGACGACGTTTCCTCTCTCTCTATGGAAGACACGTCATTACAGAGGACTATACTCTATATTAGAGCTATAATAAAAGTCGAAGTTGTAGTTGTGCTGAGAGTCCAAAAATTTTCCGGATGTAGGGAATTCATTTCTACTCACCATGTCTGCAACTGCTAGCTCTTTTGTAGACAACTTCTGAACCACTGCTATCGTGTAACAGTCACCAAGAAGGTTGTTCGGGGTCCGAAACCGATCTCTACAAAATAATAACAAAATTCAAGCATTAAGAGCGATGAAAATAATGCATTTACAGCGAGGAAGCAAAATCTCTTTGAGTGGTCATTTTACGTTTTATTTTATTTTCCTCGTTACATCATGTAAATTTTTCCTAATAAAGAATTACCGCACTTCTTAAAATTGACGAAATAATGCTAAGGAGAACTAAAGTATTAATTCACTGAATTAAAGCAAAAGGAACTATATGAAAAGGAAATGCGTGCATAATAGTTGTAACTAGCCCTTTTCGCATAGAAATTTCAGATTAAAGGTTACGAAATACCACTATTGCAACATCGGTAGCTCCGTTATTGCATACGTTATGAAATGAAGGCAAAACATGGGCTAGAATTGCACATCTTATTATTAATTTATCGTGAAGGTACGAGTATGATCGTTGCAATTGCAATATTATTGGGAGTAAAAATTAAATTCTTTTCTTGTGGACTTTCATCAATGTGTTTATTAAAGACGTTCTTTTACGGACTTTTTTTCAATTAATTTATTTATTTACTTTTTTGTTTACTTGGAGCCGTATCGGAAGAACACACATTTTCAAATCATACTTACAGGAACCAGTCAATGGCGTATAGGAGTGAAACATCTGTTGTTGGTGCGTTGATAAATCCACACAACATAACCACCAATACAAGGATGGCACTAGGAATGGAAGCGTTGGACATGCTGATGAAAGTAGCAGTGATCCTGGAAAAACAACAGAGAAAATTAAGTGTATCAAATCGGATCATCCATCAAGGAGCTACACATCGTTAGACTGTAAATACATTTTTTTTTTAAAACTGTATGATGGTTCAAATAATGAGTCTTAGATCGTATGAGGAGTAACATCAAGTTTCCATCATAACATTCAAATATCGAGATTTTTACTCGAAGAACCTTGATAAGCTGAACTCCTAGAAATTTGGCAGCATCTAAAGGCTCATATACCGCTCCTGCATGCTAACCACGGCAGAAGAGGTGACCAAGATTCCTTTAGCCCGCTGCCCGCTATACTTTGCATCATGAACAACTCCAATAAATAACATGAAATTCAAGTCTATACTTGACACTTTCAGTGTACTTACAGTAGAGAAAAATAATCGCTGACTCCTAAAGCGATGTTGTTCATCTGAGCGATGAAAATGACAGCGACGACCAGGTAAAATGATGAGCCATCCATGTTAACACTTCCCAATGGTAAAACGAACCTCGTTACCTTCGGGTTCATCTTCAACTTCTCGTCCATTAATTTGTACGTGATTGGCAGTGATGCAGCTCTGGAAAAATTATTAACGAATAAATTAATAGGATTTATAAGAGAGGTATACCAAGTGCATTGCAATACCTACTATCAAAAACACCGCGTAACATCTATGTGTTGACACATTTCTGTCAATGCGAACCGTATTTTCTTAGAGAATCTACGTGCATTTTTCGATGAATTTCATAGAAAATTTTACTCGGAATCTGATTTGGTGCACTTAAAGATTTCTGAACATAGCCTCAAAAGTCAATTGAGTAATCTGACGGAACGGGTTTTTTGTGATGTATTTTTGATCCGTATGAGTACTAATTGGCCAAGAGTAGTGAAATTGCGACGAAATCTCTCATTTTCAGCAGGGCCGGATTTACTTAATTGCCGCCCATGGGCCGCCTGTATTTTGCCGCCCCCTTCTCATTCGTTTTGAAACATCAATAAAAACCATCAAGTGAACGTGCCGGAGGGGGAGAGGCGTATAAGACGCGTTTACTCGTGTTGGACATATTTTTTGCGAAAGCCCTGTCAACACTACAAACAAAAGTTCACGGAAATTGGCGCGAAAATTAAGTTCCGTAAACCTATCTCTGTGTGGACAAGGCCCTCCATTTATATGAAATGAGCGAAAAAATTATGGGAGAACGAACATACAAGTGGTTTAATAATTTTAACCTCCGCCGCTGCGCCGCGCTGACCGCACTGTATTTGGAGCAATGCTCGAAGTATTCCTACAGTTTTACATGCGCTATGCGTTTCGGGCCAACCGCTGCTGCACGCACTGTGTTTGACGCAAAGCGTGAAGTATTCATCCAGCCTTGTAGGCGCTATGCGTTTCACGCCGCCCGCTGCTGGCAGCAGCGACCGCACTGTCTTTGACGCAATGAGTGAGGTATCCATGCAGTCTTGTAGGCGCTGATATGTGTTACATGCCAACCGCCGCGCCGCGCCGAGGATTTCTCCTTTTCATCTCAAGTTCTCGTCATCATTGCTCTCTGCGCCGCGCTGTTCCAGGTCAAATTCCGTGTTCGGTTTCTCTCTTAGTCTTAACTCGACAAATTAGAGGTGCTGTCTATTCTATCATAGAAGGACGACAAAATTAGAAATATACTCTCAGAAAATGAGAGATTTTGTCACCTTTTCTCGTTTGTATATTTTTTTTCTGAATCCGATTTTTCTTCAAAACTACATTTAAAAAAATTGCAAAATTTGCCGCCCCCTAGATTTACCGCCATGGGCCGCGGCCCATATGGCGACCCCTTAAATCCGGCCCTGATTTTCAGTTTTTCTGACAAATATCTAAAAATTTTGGTTTGAGGGTATCTTCTATAGTTTTGAACTAAAGGATACAACGAACAACTATCGAACACGATCCATTAGGCCTTGTATCCACGAGCCGTTTCACGAGATTTGTCCCAGGGAAAAATCCCACTTACGACATTGGGAAAAATATTGAGTTAATCAATATTTTTCCCAGTACCAAGTATAGCACTTGTACCCCTAGGACCTACTGAGAGAAGAAGAAGAAGAAGTGAAAACTAATTGTGCGATATTTTATTCATTACTACATTGTCAATGTTTGTTTAGTTAAAATAATGTGTCTAATTGTCAATTGAGTGCATTTATTATTATAATCCCGGTTAAATACTCGACTTTAACTACTTTATCTTCCCGCGCAAACTAGTCGCAGGACTGTATGAGCCCCGTTCCGTGGAGACGGTAACTGGGAAAAATCCCATAAGAGTTTCATTCCTGCGATTCGAACTTGAGACAAATCCCATGAAAACGTCCCGTGGAGACAAGGCCTACGGGAGTAATTCGAGGACTCACTTTGAGGCGGTGGCGAAGGCGGTGAGGAGAGCCGGGCCGAGCTTGAGGTAGTACTTGAGGGGACTCTCGCCGATGAGGACGTAGTAGATGGCCTGGGCGATGACGAAGTGGTACAGCGCGAACCCGAAGAGGATCGTGAACGTGAACAGGGCCAGCTGCGAAGCCACCAACCCGAAGTCCGAGATCGTGATGATCTTGCCGCAGATGATGCTGCCTACGGCTAGTGGGGTGAACCTGAAACATTGTCCGAAAAAGCTCATGAAGAGAACATATCACAGGCAACCCAAGTAGCAGAGCAGAGGTTGCAACAACTTGCAACAAAATCGTTTGATTCTTGCAACTAACAGATTGATGTGCAGATTGCCTACTCTTTCCCCCGAGGGAGCTATCATTGTTGGAACTAGTTGCAATTAAGTTGAAACATGTTTCAACTTCAAAGTATTGCTGGTTACCTATCTTTAGATTTTGAACAACTTTGGTTCAGTAATTTTGCAATCTCAGCAGGTTGCAACTTTGTCTTCCGGTCAGATCGCCGAAAATCGACACTTATCGACCAAAATTTGACCGAAAGTTGCAATTTTGTTGCAACTAATATCAACATTGTTTCAACTTGTGCAACTTTTACATTGAAATATGCTACTTGGGAAATAGTCAATTCAGGCATTCTGTCAAATGCCTATGCAAATAGTTAAATATTCTTACTTAGACCGAAATTCTGAATAATTTGCTGATTGTAGACAAAATAATTTTCTGATCGCGTGGACGAAAATTCATTTTAAAAACTCTCTCCGTACAATCATGAATACGTTCTTCTACTCCTTATGTGCAAATTTATCTCAAAATATGCAGCATTTCATAAAATAAAAAGTTTTCACAATTTGGACGGCTGAAGAATTATGAGGATCATTTTTGAACGGCAAATACAATGACAGTTTGTACTTTAACGGATTTTCAGTCTCAAAATATTGAAAATTAGAGAGGTCTTCGCAAACATAAGAAACCTCGTAAACTCTAAAACTTTGAGAATCTGCATAGGAATTTGATAAAATGCCTGATTTGACCATTTGCCCTCGACAAATATATACTTAAATAGAATTCGTTTTAAAAAGAAAAAAAAAGTGAATATTGTTCCGAGTTTTGGACATTTTTTCAGCAAGCATGCGCTGCCGCGTTACCGAGGAAAACAGTAGTGCAAAAATGAAGTTTTGATAAAATGGACCTGGTAGCTTACGAGTGAAAACTCCTCTTGAGTGAGACCTTTATTTTCTTGTAAAATTATTCATGATCATTCAAACGACTCTCAGATATTGATTGCGTAATTAAGAACCGACAAAACCTCTATCATTACTAAACGGACCTCAGTTAACAATGACAAAGAGCCTTCTAAATAGCAATTAGATTTGACTCGTTCATCAATGAGTTGTGTTGCATAACCTAGTATTTTGAAGGGGTTTTATAAAGCGACATCGACAGACATCATCATTCTCATGCAGTCACGCGAGGTTTGAGGTCCCGTCGCGACGGCATGCATGCATGGCACCGAACTACATTTTCAACTTTTCCACGTATCAGTGAGGCAGCCCGTCAGGAAATAAACATATATGTGATGCAAAAATCAATGCAAAGATATATGATACAATGGTCCATTAAAATGAAGAATCTTTGATCTCCTTTTTCCTTAGAAAAATTCCACACTTTTCGGATCTACTGACGGCGCAGATTTTTCATTCATTTGCGAGATGATATAAGGAACATTGACTCATACACCAAGAGAAACAAATAAAAAACTGTATTTTATAATAATGGTCATACCAGATGACGGCATTTAGAATCCTCATCAAAACATCGTAAGTTACATTTAATAGATCCAGAATGGCCCGCTTCTTGCCTTCCATGGTTCCAAGCACTGATCCAAACATCACGCAGAAGCATATTATTCCGAGCATGTTAGTTCCTCTCCTGAAAAATTATACAAAATTTTAAAAGTAGATAACACATTTGTGACGAATCCAGTGTAAAATTCGCCAAAGGCGAAGCTAACGCTATCGCTAGCGGAGAACTGTACAGATCACTCTGCAAAATCTTGGGCTATTGAGTCAAATTAGAGTTTGACCTGTCCTAAAATACAGTATCAGGCGAAACAAGGTAATCGTAATTTTTAAATTATTATTAAATTATTTTATTTAATAATATGCACTGTGACATAATTTTCAAAAATTGCAAATCGGATAAGTTATTATTTAAGTGTAAAAACTCTCCGTGAAACAATCAAGACAAGGGTATCGACATTCGAGAAGGTATAAATCTTCTCTTTTTCAAATAAGCTTCATCTCACCTTGTATCCACTTTTTTGTCAATCATTCCAATCCTCTTTGTACTATTCGTATACTTTGTGTAAGTCTGAAACAAATTAAAACAACATTAATGCAATTTTTAAACCAAGGAGCGAGGTTCAAATGGATAATGTCTCACGTTTCGCAGCAAGGAACTACTAATTCTAGCTCATACATAAAAGCACATATATCTGCATAGGGAAACTAACGTCACATACGTTGTTTCTGTAAAGAAAGAAATAGTAACTCCTAATTGCAAAATGTAGTCAATTACTGTCATGTGTATTAGAGTCACAAATTGCCAGTGATTGCTAATTTCCTGTGACATATCTACAAAAATACGCCAATTTACTAAAGCTCTTTCATTAATACATAACACTTTTTTCTTCCCTTGATTATTTCTCTTAAAAAACTTATTTTTGTAACTAAATTGTTTCATTGTGATGCTCAATTTCGAACATAATTTGCAAAAAATAAGTCTGAAAAATTGTGTTTTCAATTAAATACTGAATACTTACAGATTCCATCGTTGCAGCAAACAAATTATCTGGGAACAGGTTTCTGTAAAACATAAGAAAAGTCTTTTAGTTACAATTAATTTAAGGTACAATATAGCTTTAAGGACTTACAATGTTCAGTAAATCGGCAATTAGTGATGATAACCCCCCTCCTCTCCCTCATTGCTAAATTTGTATACCTCCATTCACTCAGATGGCATAGGTTTTGGGAAAACTTCTCTGCAGTATGAATCCCACACTGAGAAAAAACTATGGTTTATAAACCTATTAGAGGTAAATATGGAACACCTATAATAGTCGTAAATAAACTAATGATTCTCGGTCTGTGAACCATACTAAGGTCTCTGTACCTAATTAAGGTACCCCGTACCATAACTAAGGTATATGTGCTATTATTATATGTAGAGGTACTACTATTAGTGGTGTTCCATATTTACCTCTAATAGGTTTATAAGCCATAGTTTTTTCTCAGTGCACAGCTCTGAAACGGTTATTGCCTTCCAGCTTATTGAAGGCGAACAGTGGCGAGGCGAGAATGATCGATTATCGATATTTTCCCGTTTGAAGCTTCGCAAAGAATCGATTATCAAGGTGTTCGTTGCGAACGCCATGTGTATCGATCATTTTCCATAGGTATAAAACGCAGATAAATCGATATATCGCAAAGCGCGCCACGCCCCTGAAGGCGAACTACTACGATTGAGCGCCACGCACCATAAGATGCTACTAGCACTGAGACCGACGAAATTCTCGAACTACTTCAAACAACTATTACTTCTCCTGAGCCGGATTTTAATATACAAATGAGGAAATCTCAAGAACGGTTACAAATGAAGACGGTTGTATGGTGCGGTTCTTGAAATTCCGGCTTCAAACCTTTTCTTCAGAGAGTTTCACCTGACTCCTGAACTCATAATATTCTCCAATCATATAGTAAAGAATTGGAAGGCTAATTTATGTTTTATCGGCATACCAGCGAGCTGACTATTGATACTGAAAGACAAAACTGTCAACAAAGAAAACAAAGGTAGAATGGAGCCATCCTATTGGTTGAACGGGTAATTGTTATAGACTGAGGAGAATGATGGTTACTACCTCCTTTGTCCATTGCAACCACCCGCTTCCGCTAATAGGGTCGCTCCATTTTTTTGTGACTATAAACTTCAATAATCAACCCTTTTGAGTGTCAGACCGTGTATTTCCTTCATATCTGTAAAATTGGAAATGCGCAGATGCAGAACCCTCCCATAATAGTCTTGTCTTGTCCTCGTATCACAGGAAAAAAAAACACATTTTATCTAGAGTCCAGACTCTTAAAAACATCGACAAGAAAAAATACTCTTGATTCAGTCAGATTTAAGCTTAAATCAAGAACCAAGCCTCTTAATTTGAGCGGATTTCCTTTTGATTTAAGCTTAGATCTGATTGAATCAAGAGTCCTTTTTCTTGTTAATATTTCAAGAGTCTGGATTCTAGATCCAGTGTGTTTTTTTCCAGTGATTGATGAGAGAGACCTAAACACTAATCAACGATGTAAGTCCGCAACCACACATCTCGGTTCGTGACTTTGCAGAATGGACCACTAGACAAGCCACGAATTTCAGCAATCTGATACAAGTTTCTGAATCAGAATTTCACGTAAAACACGATGCACACAACGAAAATTACCAAAATCAACTCCTTACAAAGATATTAAATGTTTCCTGACGCGTGAATTCAAACCACCCGCTCATGAAAACACAATGCTCTACAGTGACTCACATCGCGCGCTAAACATTATCATGACAGTCTCTGCTATGTAAAAATCTGGCAACCTCAATCTTGACACTTTGGCTTAGCTATAGTAAATTGCTTATAGTTTGAACAATACACGGTGGGAATTGAACATTCCTCGTTTGAGAAGCTTGCTGAAACCGTTGTGGTGCTCGATTTGACTCTCGTAGAGCTTTGAGTTTCTTGTGAGCGGGCAGTTCAAATTCTTCGTAACCAATGTGGAATAAAAGCGTTTAAATCTTCGTAAGGAGTTGATTTTAGTAATTTTCGTTGCGCGAATCGTATTTTACGTGAAATTCTGGTTAAGAAACTTTTATCAGATTGCTTAAATTCGTACCTGGTCTAGTGGTCCATTCCTGTCATTCTTTATTTTTTGAATGGGAAACTACTCAACGGCAAGCCTTAAAACTGCCGTGACTTTTCTCCTTTGCCCAAAGAAAACACTGCGAACACTTCAAGGGATGATGCCGATTTGTTCTCCTTCAAAAAAATAAAATAAAATGGGAGCGGAAATTTTCAAACACCACAAACGAGGTACACGGTTCTATTATGGACCTGCACCGTCGAAATGGTCCACTTCTTACCTTCCGATGTCTAAGAGTCCATCCAACACATCTTGCTGGTTGGAATCGAATTGTTTTGAGACCTGCGCCTTCCTCGATGGATCTCCGGGATGAATGAGGAGTACAAGGATAATTCCCATTGCGACATTGATAAACGTCGTTACAGTGAAATAGACTATTGTGCGCACTGCGATTTTCCCGTTTTTCTGAATATTCAGAGAGGCAGTGCCTGAAACACAAATCGACGATTTCAAACATTGAACTTTACGATACAGAGCGAATGAAATGCATCTTAATGCGTAGTTCATAATGTCTTCTTCTATTTGTAACCTGATATCGCCTGTAAAAGTTTAAGAAAATGTAACACAGCACGTGGATTACAACATTGAAAATTTCCTTACATGTATTTGATATAACGGAAGAAAAACTAACTAATATTGTTTATTATATTTATTGTAATGATTCTTTGTATTATAGAGATTCTGTAACAATTTCTGAGTAATGTTGATTTTGAATTTAAAAAAAATACAGTTTACAGATACGTGAATTGTGAAGCTCCCTAGTCTAGATACGGTTTTGGTACTCTGAGGTAGGTATATAATGCTAAATTTTCCATGATAACTCATGTTCTTTGTAGAAAATTTATGAATACTTTTCCTTTTGATAAAATTTGATTACATTGTGAAGAAAATTATTTGAAAACTTGAGGAGGAATATGCAATTATTTTGCAGCAAATTTTACTGCACGAACAAAATGTGAGAACGCCCAGCTATTCATAAACGTGGTTTCTCCTCAAAATGGCATAACTCGACGCCCTCCTGACATAAGAGCTTATCTGCACTCTGCTAGGAATCCCGTTGTCCATACAATTGAATGTTTTTCCGTGGTCATATCGATGTGTAGTTACGCTCTTTCATCGGCCGGACAACGAACTGAACTAAATTTTACTTAAAGGAACTTTAATTTCTGACTCATTCGTAAAAACGCTCATGACTAGAGGGTAGCTAATGGTGCATACGTTGTTCCCAAACTGAACCAAAAATGATAGTTCTCAATTGCAAATTGTAGTCCAACTGACAATGAGTCGCTTTGTTTGCTCAACGAAAAATTGCTTCCGAAATTCCCAGAAAAAAATTTCGTTGGTCAGTAATCGCGACTCCTCATCCCGAGTCGAAAGCTCCATCGTTGCATTCCATCACGTTATTATCAACCGTTTCACGCTGGAAGTTTTCGTCCATTCATCCAAGGCCAAGCGTACCTACATCTCTCGCTGGAGACTGGATACTTGTCCATCTATGCGCGTGCGCAGTACAACGAGAGTTTGTCGGCGCGCATCGCGCTCGTGAGGACAGAATAGGAATACTACCGTGCCAAGGAAAAACACCGTATGAACCTTCAGGCGTTGCCAAATTAACTTTGATAAAACACGAATTTCTTGGTTAACTTTTGAACATTTTTCTTCCAATTTTTCTGATAATTTTTCTCGCATTTTCACCTAGAGTTCCTGAAAATTTCAAGGAGATATATCAATTACTTTCCTCAAAAATATACGTTTTATCGAAGGAAATTTGGCAACTGTCAAATGTTCATAGGGCGTTCTTCCTTAGCATGGCAGACTAGAACTTACCAATGATTAAACTAGTGGCGACGAACGGCAGGATCAACAGCTTTAGCGCTCGCAAGAAGATTTCTCCTGGGTAGGATATGACGGTGATTGTGTCTCTCTCCAGCTCAAAGGACCGTAACGAGCACCCTAAGACAGAAAAGAACGGATACATGAACTGGATTGTACTGCTAAAATCCTGATGAAAACAAAGTGAAATACAAGGAGAAAAACGTTCGTTATGACGTTCGTTAAAACGTTAAAAATTATGAAAGAACAAACATAAATGTGGTTTAATAATTTTAACTTCCGCCGCTGCGCCGCGCTGACCGCACTGTGTTCGGCGCAATGCGTGAAGTATTCCTACAGTCTAATATGCATGTATGTGTTATGCGTTTCACGCCGCCCGCTGCTGACAGCAGCGACCGCACTATCTTTGACGCAATGCGTGAGGTATCTGTGCAGTCTTGTAGGCGCTAATACGTGTTACATGCAGACCGCCGCGCCAAGGGTTTAAGTTCTTGTCATTATTGCTCTCTGCGCCGCGCTGTTCCAGGCCAAATTCCGTTTTCGGTTTCTCCCTTAGTCTTAACTCGACAAATTAGAGGTCCTGTCTATTGTATCACAGAAAGACCACAAATTTAGAGATATACTCTCAGGAAATGAGAGATTTTGTCACCTTTTCTCGTTGGTATCTTTTTTCTCTGAATCCGATTTTGCCTTATAACTACATTTGAAAAAATAGCAAAATTTGCCGCCCCCTAAATTTGCCGCCATCGGCCGTGGCCCATGTGACCACCCCCTAAATCCGGCCCTGCCTAAATAATTAAAAATTAACGAGTGAACATTTAGCAATTTTGAAATCTGGTCGCGTTCTTTTGTTTGGAGAACAACGAATGCACTTAACCAGTATCGAGTATGTGATTCGTGACGAAAAGAGAATTGCATTCCTCATGCTCAGCGATTCGTTTGAAGGTCTTGTGAAGTATGTCTCATGTTATTTAGTCCTCAATCCGACATCAGAACGAATCATTTAAGCGTGTCAGCGCCATCGGTGTACGCATGGGAGCAAGAAAGAAGCCATTCCAGTGCACCTCCGGGCCGCTTTAAAGTTCCTCAAAGTGCCGCGAGGAATTGTCAAGTTTCATGCTAAAAATTACTTTTTAAAGTTTTGCAATTACATAGATTTGACGGATTGTTTTGCAAAGCATATTGCAACCGTGTCGCGGCGCCGCCTTTATCTGATTACGGTGACAAACGAGGGCAATAACGGTTACATCATTTCAAAAATGTGAATAACGATGCACCAATTGCTGAAATTGATTATCCTGGATGATGAGGCTGGCTCGAATTTTTGCAATTTTAAAAAAGTTCAGTATTTCAAAAATAATGTTGAAATACTGCTGATATACAGATAAAAACGAGCTGAGACTTCGATAAAAGCTGAAACCTTGTGAGCGTATTTATTCTTACCGTCAACCGTAGTTAATTTTAACGCCGTTGAATCCTGGCGATCCATATTTTTAAAACAAATTTTGAAAATACTCTCGAATTCTAGGAGGCTTCCAATATTTTTGACGTATTCTCATACGGATTCACATTATATTTAAGTACCACAAAAAATTTGTTTCTTGTTTTTGTTTTTGTTTCTTTGTTTTATTTTTTATTTATTATTTTTTTTTTATTCTCCTCATCATTCCGGCACCATACGCACCACTCACACAATTTCATTTTTAAAGAGCCCATTCAATTGAAATTTCTGTGAAAATAAAATCAGTCTTCCGAATTTTATTAGGCTTAAGGTGCAAAGGTTAAGAGTGACTCACCTAAGATTCCTCCAATGATGACTCCAAGCAGGGTATAAATTAGGAACTTCTGTTTTTTGGCTTCGCCCAGGATCCGATCTTTGATTGGGGCCCCTTGACCCTCCTCAATATCGGTAGCCATGGCCTCGTCCACCGGTACCTGAAAGAAACAAATCCACCAATTTTAAATCATGTCGCAGTGAGCACTGAGATAGAAATTTGTTTTCGCTCGAAAAATCTTCTTCCCCGCCTGTTATCAAACATGAATTCGCGTAATATACGTCAGAAGCTCCCCACGTCATCAGGTCGGGGTTTGCATTGTTTTTGTGGTATTTCCGCGATTTTATCTATTTTTCGAGCGCGTCAAGTTTTTAGGGCGACTCGAAATGTGAAAATTGATCAAGGTCAGCTCCCATACAATAAAGATAAATCGAATCGGTTATACACGGTTTTGTAAGTATACTCTCAGTTTTCTATGATAGGTCTGCTAATTTCTTAGATTTAGTGAAGTGATCGGTGAGTTACGTCATTTTTTCGCTCCGCATAACGCGTCTTCGAATTTGAATTAGGCAAATTGAAAGGTTTTGCCGAAAAAGGTTTTAAAGGGGGTCAACTATGAAGTGGATGAATTGTATCCATAAATAAAGGGAGAGATGCCAACTTGAAGAAAAGATCCGTCCCGTTAGATTCCAGGGGTCGCAAAGCGCCCTAGTGCACTGTACATACTGCCATGCTAAGGAAGAACGCCGTATGAACATTTGAGAGTTTTCAAATTTTCCTTGATAAAACATGTATTTTTGACGGCATTCGTGAACATTTTTCAAGGAAATTTTCAGATATTTTCGATTAAATTGCTCACAAAATTGTTTGAAAATTTTGGGAAAGAATATTCACAATTTTCCCAAAAGATTCTGTTTTTATCGAAGGAAACTTGGCAACATCTGAAAGCTCATACGGTGTTCTTCCTTGGCACGGCAGTATAGAAGCGACTACTAGACACAAATTAAATTATCGAAATGTACGAAAAGTTATCGAGCTACTCATAGTAGTTTGTCAGTTATGCTCTTCCTTGTGTTCAGCCTATAATAGCGCGCCGACGCAGAAGAGTCAGTCGTATAAGGTAAAATGCAATCAATTTCGTCCAAGGAGTTGACACACATTGATTTTTTGTATCCCGCCCTTATTTTTTTATTGGAGGAAAGTCAGTTGACTCCATTATATATTTATATCAGGACCAAGAGACCGAGAGAAATTGACTATTTGACTACAAACAAAACGGTTTCGAATGTAAACATGAGGGTAAACTATTGAGGGACCGAGCGGCAAAGAGTCTAATTTCATGAAATATAAGTGCTCTCTACCGCTAAGCGAGTTCCGAGAAAGGAACAGGAAATGCTTCAATCACATAAAATTTTATTGTTTGTATGGGAGTGATAAAGGCAAATGAGTCAATTTTTGCGCGCATTAGATGGGCCTTTTCGACAGATGTGCACAGTATTGATTAGTCACCTTTTTTTTTTTAAAGTTTGTCCGAAAGGGGCGTTCCCACATCCGATATCAATAGATCGGTCAGAAACACGCCGAATGATGTATTTCACATAGTTAGGACACGGCATGATTCCTCCCATCATTTATCTGGTTTCGATCAATTGGAACATGTATACAGTAACGCTACGGGGTGGTTCATCAAATGATGTCAGGAACTTTCCCTGATTTCTTTACCTATCCCTTCCCTGTCCTAGGACCCTTCTCCCTCTCATACTCCTCTTCAAAGAGGTTTATTCGATGATCTTGGACTCTCGTCCTCCTTTCCTTTGAGCATCTGACGTCATATTGTAATGGGTCTGCTGTTGTCGCTGAAGGGGGGCGCGCAGCTCAAATGGAGAACTCAGGGTGCTTCGAAAACTACAATTTTATTCACACTTTTATCCACAGATTTATCCACACATCAGACGTAAACGCAGATAGAACGCTGTTGGTACGAAGACCTCGCTTTTCCGCCCGTCCCAACTTTTATAGCCTCGGGTCCACGCCCAACATCCGACACGCTTCTCGCCCAGTTTTCCCAAACAAATTGCCCAATTTCGGCTCCGAGGCGCGGATCACACCATCAACATCACCAGCAACTCTAAACAAATGGTCCTCCGTGCAAATTTCCAGCCTCTCTCACACTCTGAGACCAAAGTCCGCCGGCCCGGAAATGCGCGCGGAAACCCACCTGCCCACAGCCCCCGGTGGTTTTTTAAGGCCTTCACGCCCCAGGCATCACAATATACTTAAACATTTCCGTGTTTAAGGTTACTTTGAGTTCGGTTGGATCAACCATGGGGACATGGTTTATCGACCAAATTTTTGGTTGACCAAAATCAGGTTACTCTGAGACGTCTTGGAATAAAGTCAAAGCCCTGCTGAATTAATGTTCTCGTGTTTCTCTCATTTTCACACAGAGATCGCGACTTGCGAGTAGCTACCACACTGAACTGTCACCAATGTGATCCAGGTTCAATCCTGGCGGCTTGCATGCGCTTGATTTTTAACGAGATTGCAAATTTTCAACCCAAAGATTCGGCCAATGTAACCGAAAGATTTGATCAATGTAACCCAAAGAAAGAAAAAAACAAAAAATATTATGTGCTCTACTTCTCACATAGTCGTTTCCCCGAAAGAGCGAAACTAAATTTCAATTTTGTCGAATATTCCCTCGCTGATTATACTTATACCAGAATAATCTTTGCGCATTTCTGACCGAGATTTTCACTGATTTTTCTTCTAATATCATACAAAAACCAGACAAACTACGGACAACAATTGCATGCTGAGTGCATTCTTGGAAAAACTTGAAAGAGCCTTGTTAAAAATGGGTCGAAATTCGCCCCTTTTTAGGCCCTCGATTTTGCAAACGGGAATTGTGCCAAATTATTGCATATGATGCCCTAAGTCTCTGGTAAAAAATTTCAGCTTGAGTTGAAAAGTGGTTTCGGAGATACGGGGGGGGGGGGANACTCCCCCACTTCACCCCCCCGTATCTCCGAAACCACTTTTCAACTCAAGCTGAAATTTTTACCAGAGACTTAGGGCATCATATGCAACAATTTGGCACAATTTCCGTTTGCAAAATCGAGGGCCTAAAAACGGGCGAATTTCGACCCATTTTTAACAAGGGCCTTTCTTAGTCAATTTTGCAACGTTGAAATGCAATTACTTTCCTTCGTCAGAGAAATGACAATATTTTCGTCAAAACAGTTACTTTTTCTTACTATGCGCATATAGGACTCTCGAGTGTTGGTCCCTTTTGCAAACTCCTAACAACTTGGTTCCTCGTAGTAGAACTCAATCCAAAAGTCCAGTCTGCCCGAAAACCTCGTGTAAATTCGCGAGAAACTGGCAACCCCGGCTAAAGTCGAAGAAATTTGATACATTTCGCGGTATGCACGGAACACACTACACACCGTTCCTGGCTCGTGCGGACTTACACAAGCCCCCGATCAGAGCCAGGATCCGCCGTAGCGGGTCAATCGATAATCCGGACTAATAGCCCGTCACTCTTTGGGACCTTGAACTTGGTCTCGTCCATTCAAATTTCACGGTCCTATTCAAGGGCCGTGCTAAGGAAAAACGCCGTATGAACCTTCACCAAATTTCTTTTGATAAAACACGAAGTTCCTGGTACATTCGTGAATATTTTCCTTCCAATTTCTCAGATAATTTTGTTCGCAATTTCACAGAAAGTTCCTGAAAATTTCAAGGAAAAATATTCATAACTTGTCTTAAAAATAAACATTTTACCAAAGGAAATTTGGCAACTCTCGAATATTCATACGGCGTTCTTCCTTAGCACGGCAGTATTCAAGGGCCGATTGGCCGTGGTCCCTTCAATACCGACGAAAAAATGGATTGAGGTAGACTGCGACAGCAATGGCGTGCCGAGCTTTGCGATGTATCGATTGATCTGACATTCAAGCCTATGGAAAAGGATCGATTAACAGGTTTTCGGAACGAACACCTTAATAATCTATTCTTTAGCATAGCTTCAAATGGGGAAATATCGATAATCGATAATTCACGCTTCGCCACTGAGTGGCAATGACTAGCGGATTAGGGTAATGAGGTTTAGATTGAGAAAATTCGGCACTGGCTTCTCTATTGTTTTGCAAGAGCGTGTCTGCTATTGTTCCATTCTCGTGGTTCCGAGAAGTGCAGGAGGATGAATGAACTTGCAGTGTGCAAAATTCGAAGAGTGTGATTGAGCAAAATAATTATCGGTTCACTCAAGTTGGCAACACCGTTTCTCCTCCGTTTATATATCAATTATGATTATCGATTTTAGGTGAGACGGGGTTAGTTAGTTAGCTTTTACGTGCTACAGACATTCAGAAACTTGAGCTATTAATGACCTTACAGGCTGTTTAACTTAAAGCGATTGTTTTACATTCATTTAAATGGAGAAAGCTGTTTCTTAGCTGAAGGGAATAGGTACCAGGACTGGATTAAAGGGGTGGCCACATAAGGGCCGCGGCCCATGGCGGCAAATCTAGAGGCTGGCAAATTTTAGATTTTTTTTAATGTAGGTATAAAAAAATATCAGATTTAAAAAAAAATACAAACGAGAAAAGGCGACAAAATCTCTCATTTCCTGAGAGTATAGTAATTTTTAATTTTATCGTCTTTCAGTGACACAAGAGACATAACCTTTAAGTAGTCGAGTTAAGAGAGAAACCAAACACGCAATTTGGCCTGGAACGGCGCGGCGCGGCGCAGAGAGCAATGATGACGAGGACTTGAGATGAAAAGGAGAGGCCCTCGGCGCGGCAATCGGCATGTAACACATATTAGCGCCCACAAGACTGCACGAATACTTCAAGCATTGCATCAAACACAGTGCGGTCATTGCGGTCAACGTGAAACGGATAACGCCTACAAGAATGCATGAATACTTCACGCATTGCGCCAAACACAGTGCGGTCAGTGTGAAACGCATAGCGCCTACAAGACTGCGTGAATACTTCACGCATTGCGCCAAATACGGTGCGGTCTGCGCGGCGCGGCGGCGGAAGTTAAAATCAGCAAACCACATTCATGTTTGTTCTTTCATAATTTTTTTGTTCGTAATTTATGAATGAAAGGCCTTGGCCACACACAGATAGGTTTACGAAACTTAAC